GTTCGGTTGCGCCTGCCTTTTATAGCCAGAACATTCAACATCGACTGCGACGCTGGCAGCGACGTTGACACTAACTGCGATAGCAATATAGCAACAGGCAACAGGCAACCCAGGTAACTTAATACACTTGGGGATTTTGCGGGATTTTTTCTCTGTCGCTCTGTCGCTATACAAACGGCAAAAGTGTGTCGGTTGCCTACTGATGATGCTGATGCTGATGCTGATAGCGTTGGCTTGCTGACTGGGGCATCAACTTTTGCTGAATATATGTAGCCGTTTAGTATATATGTATTCGAAATGTAGGGGAATCGACACTCGAGCCCTTTGCCTTGGCCCACAATCTCAACCAGGACACATAACACTCAGTCCTGAAAATCAAAATTAAATATTTGTAATGTACTATTTCAGATAAAAATAAAACAATAAAATATTCATATTTATGTTGAATTTTATGAATTCATTTTTCTTTCAGGCGGAGAAAAATTGTTAGTTTGTTAATTGTAAAAGGTCCGCTAAAGTCGATGCGGATCCGTCATGGACAATCCTCTATCGATTAATCATATAATTTCGTGTAATTGATTCTTCAAAAATTGTTTCGGTTCGGTTTCTGAAAATCAAGCAGTCATGTTGCAGATGTGGTTCCGATTTGATGAGATTGGATCAGATATTCTTTATTAGATATCTATTATTTATAGTGTTACCTAACTCTAACTTGTTATCGAATTTCATTATGTGTTTGCTGTTAGAAAAGCTCAACTGTTGGTATAGTCGACATATTGTACTTGCTTATTTATTTAAGCAAATTTGTAAGCAGAATAGAGTTAAACATGAGGGGTAATTATACATATATAATGACTTCAACTCTAAGATTTTCGATGCACTTGGCTTGGCTTATTGGCCAAAAGAGCTGAGATATATGTATGCAGGCATTATTATTTGGGTTTAGTTTCTGAGATGAGTAGAACAGGAGTGTAACTGGTGCAAGTCGAGTCCGGTACCCCTCCCAGACTTAATTTGTATGTAATAAAGGAAATAGTGCACAATGATGGACCACCAATCGGGAGCTCGTGCCAATGCCTATATCAAGAAATTTCCTTTTTTCGCGCGATAAGCAATGGATAACTTAGAGGAGAGGCTTAATAGTTTCGTGGGTTTAGCATTGGGACTTGAGCTATATCCGATGCAATGAGTCAAACGAAGTGCAGCATATAATGCAATTGCAACTCTCTGCATCCAATCAGCGAGCTGCATCATTGCGTATACGCAATGTGAAGCAACAAACAAAAACACATCGTCAAATCGAATGACCGCCAAATGTAATGTGTGATTGGTAGGCAAGGCCATACCGGTTTGATCTCGGTCTCTGTGTGTGTGTGTGTGTGTGTGTGCGTTGGCGTTCGACGCGGCGTATGCGCAATATGCATTTTCAACAAGTTAACCTTGCCGTCGCTGCCACCGCCACCGCCATTGCCACTGCCATTGTCGCTGTCATTTCCTCCAAGGCTAGATGCTGCCACTGTTGCTGCCACAGTTGCTCTTGCTGCTGCTGTTGCTGTTATTGCTGCTGTTGCTGTTGCTATCTTCTGCCAACTAGCAGCTGTTGCTGCATACTGCCTTTTCATTCGTACGTTCAGTCATTCAGCGCATGCTCGAGACGCCGCGGCGCCTCCAAATGTTTTCGTGCCGCCGCTCATCTGCTGCTCCCATTGGCCGCTCACATTCAGCAGTGTCCCATTGTGGCAAGGCCCATTTCGCTCAGCTGCACACTATGTGTAATTAATCTGGTCTCCTTTTACGGGGTGGCGGGGCGCGTTCTTAACTTAAGCGCAACGCGCAACCAATAATTTTTAACCCTCGAATACTTCATGTATTGTCAAGAGCAACTGTACACGAATTATATAACCAAAGTCATGGGCAAAACAACCATGTGGGGTCATCATTAAACACATGACAAAGTTATATTCTACATTTTAAAATAATTTACGATAAAATAGAGAAAAGAAAAACTTTGGACTTGGATAAAAATACTTTATGAATAATAAAAAAGATTAAGGAATATTAACCACAGAAATTCTGAAACAAATGCATTTGCAATACGAAAATAAAGCAAAAGCTGTATGTATTTTATTCATTTCATAATACGTAACTATAAATTGTAATAGTTATTAAAAATTACTACCCAACAGCTACAGGTTCTTTAAGTACTTCAAAGTGTGCTCAATGCACTTTAGCAACCCTGCCTCATCATATTCAGTCTGCATATTTTAAAAATTATTAGTTAAAAATTGTTTAAAGCAAAATCCAAGCTTGGGAGCATTTGCTTTGACAAATGACGATTTTATATTAAGATTCATTCGATATGCATGTGAGTTATGTCCTTTGACAAGCTCGATTGCATTCATCCCGGCCTTTACATAAGTTGATCCATTGAAACCCATTAAAGGACACCAGATGGGCAGCATGCTCCATGGCGACACGTTCTCAACTCCATTTAATCTGAGTGGCCCACACTTGTTGCTATTGCTTTTTGTCCTTTTTTGGCTCAGGTGCTTGTTTGTGTCTATGACAAATAATGTCATACACACCTTAAGAATAACACTCAAGTGTCTGTCTGTGAGTGTGTGTGTGTTATACACTCATATTCGAATTATTTCTAAATACAACAGAAGTTGATTGCTTAGAAATATAAGATACACTGCAAATACGTATTTCAAGCATTTCTAGACCCTATTCCTATTTAAATGTATTCCGCTATAGTTCCACAACAACGAACTAACATTATTGATTGAAACTTATTGAATGTTATCTTAAAATGTAATTAGGATAATCATAGTTAATCAGAGACTACAAATCATACTCCAAGTAATTAAGTTTTTGTTTTAAGATATATCTGGACATTGCGTATATTAAAGAAAAACAAGCATACTTAAATCATATAATAATAAATGATGATAAATTAAAGTCTTTCTGTGGTCTTTGATTGATCACCCTAGGCCAGATATTGTTTTACCTTCGGTGTTCTTTTTTTTAATGATTTTTCGAGGTTTATTTTCTATTATTCATAAATGCATTTTTAAAAAGACAAAATAAAAACCCAGATTCTTGGAAAAAAAAAACTGCCTGAAAGCTATAAGGCATCTAAAATGTGTTAGTATATAAGTCAAATGTTAAAATAATAATATTTAATGATAATATAGGCAACATAAAAAGCGAATCTAAGAATTCTTCTATATATAATATAATATATAAACATTGAAAAAAACGCTCCTGAAATTAAGAAATGCAAACCTTGGTTTTCAGAAAACCACAACCTATAATTTGAGAAGTAAGAAGTGAGAAATCCTTGGCGCCAAGAGTATGGTGAATTCCTAAAATGCAGGACGATTTTTTGTCGCAGTAAAGTCACTCAATCCACTGGCCTGTTGCCTGTTGCCTGCTGCCAGTTGCCCATGGAACGCGAAACGTGGACCGATTACGGATCTGTGGCGGTGCTTGTTGACCTGTTGCCATGGCAGACGCGTATGTACATAAAATTGAACATAATGCCCGCCAGGCCAGCCCCGATATACGGGCCATGGCCAGGGGGTCGAGATGTAGAGCTGGGTTTATTTGGTAATTTGGCAGTGTTGGCAACGCCAAAAGTCATAAATTACGTTAAGTCTTTGGGGGGTGGGCGATTGGCGATGGGGTTTCATGGCTATGGGGCGTATCAACTGTGTGGCAGCCATTGGAACTGGGGGAGGAGGTGGGTGGCAGGTCATGTATGCACCATTATCGCGGATGGGCGGAAGGGAAGGGGAGGGCAGGGCCAGGCCAGCCAAGCGCAAATGGAGACAGAAACGTAAACGCAAGAGAGACATGAATTGCGTTTGGAACGGACACGAGGCATGGTGGTCCGTGGTGCGTGGTCCGTGGTGCGTGGTCCGTGGTTCGTGGTTCGAGACACGCTGCACTTCATTGTTGCACCGTTGCGGCTTTGTGTCTGTTTGCCATTTAAGCCAATTTTGCCCTGCCAGTTGTTGGCTCAATTTTTTAGCCATATTGGCCAAAGTGACTTTGTGACTTGCAACCCAGCAGCTGCCTACCGCCGAGTAAGGCAACGCTTGTAGCTCAAAGGCAGAAAAATTGCATGAAAATCAAACTCAATTAATTTCAGTTTGCTAATAAAGTGTAGGGACTAATTGAACTGTCTAGCATATTTTGCATTTTGCAAACTTTGCCAATTTAATTATAAGAAATAATGCATTTACATAGTAAAATCTACAATACACAATATACCCTCTAGCCGCAAAATGTTAGAAAAAGAGCCTTTGTGCCTATTACAAGTAAGCATCAAATGTTAATCCAATCTCTATAAATTTCTTTTATATTTTTTCAAATGTTTGCAACAGGCAAGAAATATGCGCATAACCACTAAATCGATCGTAATTATTTCGAAACTCTTCGATGGAGATTCTTTTTTGTTATTTTTGACACAAAATACGAGAAATTTAAGTGAATAAATTTCTGATGTGGAATTCATTTCGAGTTGCCCTTAAAGCTAGCTAATTGTCTCGATGCCTTACAGAAAAACACAAATCAGATATTCATCAATTCTGAAGATATTGTTTCGAAATTGTGTCTAAACTCTTTAGATTAAATTTTTTGTCATTAAATTCAAAAAGTGGAATTTGTCCTTAAAGTTTGTGGACTGCATCGATGTCTTTTATGGCATTTGGGCTAAAATCACTAATTGCAGGGTATTTAGTAGGCAACTGCATAATGCTCGAACCTCATTAGTGCATAGGGGGATTTTTGCTTTTGCGGTGTCAAACTTTTAATTAAAAAGTGGAAACCACAACAATACCAATATCCACATAATTGGCCATATGTAAGTTATATTTTCATATTTGTTGCTTGTTTGTTAAAATTGAAGCGCAAAAATATGCTCGCACACACTTTAGATATAGATGAATGTCTCCTTCAGTATTTTTCACAATTTTATTATATATACTATGCACTTTAGTTTAGATCCGATTTTATTTAAACTTGTTTTTCTAGAAATCTTATTCGACTGGCCAAAAGCGTGTATTTGAAATAAAGTTGTATTATTTAAGATATAGTACTGCATGTGGACCCAACCTCCATGGAAACAGTTGTCGGAAAAGGAATGAGTGCAGCCAATGCATTATCTTTCTTCCCCTCCATCTCCATATCTGTATATATACAGATTATAAGCTATAAGAAGGATTTAGATTGCAGCGAGGGTTGTAAAACATTATTCTTAATTAGTTGTTAGTTGTCGGCTACTGATCCTTATGCTATGCTATGTAAACATATCACTTACCCTGTTGTGGTAATCCTTTAAATGTTTGGCTATTGTTTTGACTGTTGATTGATTTGAAAAGGAGGCGCTTGGGAAAATGCACTATATCAACGGAGGGGGTGTGGCATTGATGGCAGCTAGAAGGGCGCCGCGATAGTCGCTGCCCTGATAGCGGACATGCTCAAGCAGCTGGCCCTGGCTATTGATCACATAGAGGGATTGCCCGTTGCCCCCCTCCCTGCCATCGACCTCCTCAGCGATGGCTGCAACGGTAGCCTCGGCAACGGCAGCGGCAACCGCCCTCTTATCAGCGGGCAACGGCGATTTCAGCATCATCTCCGGCCGCCTATATCCACTGGCGAAAGCATTTAGTTCTGGGAACGGGCAAACACTGGGCGCGAAGATATTAATACTCGCCCGAGATCGAGACATTTTCACTCCACTGATTTCGAACTTCTTGCGGGGCAGCTGCAGCTAAAATTCTTTCTATATTTTTCCAGACTAAACAATAAGATATTGGAATTTAAAACAAATGACATAACAAATGCCAGTTTGAAGTGAACTCTGTTTCAATTACACTTTCTCAAAATCTTTGCCAAATCCAGTCTTTTTAAGAAATATTTGTACAAAATAAAAATTGAAAATCGAATTTAAATTTGAATTATTTTTTCACTGACTTCAGGTGGTTTATAGATTTAGATTTACGATTAGAGACATCTGAAGTTCACTAAAAAAAAAGTCTGGAACCGAACCCAAAATTGAAGTCTTGTTTCAAACCGGAAATCCATAGCAGATTTTCTTTAACGAGTGCGCGGCTTTGGATTTTTATTATTTTTAGTAACATTTCCTGTATAGGCAGCAACCATATAAAAAATAAATAAAAAGGCCCCAGCGATTGTAAAAAATTTGATATATGCTTGCCATAAATCACTAGCAACAAAAAGTTAAAGTGCTTGTGCAGAGCTTTGTTTCATTCACAGAACATATGCATAAATACACACACACACACACACACACACACACACACACAGACACACCCACATTATGTTTGGCTTTGAGGCACATATAATAATGTGCATAGGCATATGTACATAAATATTATGGCTGTTACTTTAAGCAAACCAAACACATACTCATACATACATTTGGCTTCCTTTTACTTTGTCAGCCATTTTGGTGGCAGTCTTATAAGAGCAACGAAGTCAACAGCCCGACTATGAGACACTCAATAAACATTCCTTCTTATCTTAAATCGTTCTGACAGTACAGTTCGTGAAAATAACTCTTGAAGAAGGTATACCATTTGAGAAACAACGAATCGACATAATACTTAAGCTGTGCTGCGACTTAAAATGAGTACCAAGAGATACGTGAAGCTGTCGACGAATTCCGATTTTTAGAAAATCAAAATGATCACTTTTGATTTTATAGGGTATCAACGCAACAATAGCAATGAAAATAAAAGGAAAGCCGAAGTCAGGCATATTTTCCGCTTAAGGCGCCACAATATGTGGACTTCAACCAGTGACCTCAAAATTGGAACCAACATCGACCAGAAGCAACAGTTTATTTATTATTCTTTTATTTTGCTTGCCCCGCTTCATTGTTGTTATTATTGTTGTTGATCTCCAACTTTGTCAGATAACGCATTTACAACAAAAGCAGACTATAACATTGGCTTCCGTCACTTGCAGCAACGCAACGAAATGCAATATTTAAGCAAATAGATCTAGTAATATATAGTATAGTATGGAATAGAATAGAAAAGTAATGTATATCGTATATATTGAAGTATAAGTGACTAATAAGCATTAATCAAGTTAAAGTGTAAGTCACGTTAAATTTGGTCTTCATTTCAATTTCGTAATATCTTCAACCATTTAACACATCAATTTACAATCTTAACAATCTCATAGGAATCTGATTTTCTAGAAACCATACTCAATAACGATATGCTACGTTACTATTTATCTTATTTATTATTATTATTACATAGTGAAAGTGTACCATAAAGTAATTACGTAAGTTATTAAGCTTCTTAAAGGAGTACTTTGTAAATTGAAATCCCAAGAGAACATATTTAAGTCTTAAATTTAGAGTAAAGCATCCAAGATGAAAGCTAATTAAAGCACTATGTTAAGTAAACAAAGAAAAACAAGTAAGAGTGATGTAGTCGAGCAAGCTGGACTACGATTTACCCTGAACTCAGTTATTAGATATATTATGGTCCTTTTCGCAAACTTACCCTTAAAAAGTTTTGCAAATGTTAAGGTGTTTAGTTTATGAACTCGGAAATGCTTCCTGCCTGTTACATACATTTGCACTAAGCTGTTATACCCTTTTTACGCATTTCAATATTTTCAGGGTATAAAAATAAACCACAGAAGGTTTATCTCGAAGTTTAAGGCTGTTTGAGTGTTTGAATATGTTGAGCTTTTTTGTAGGCTGTGAACTGTTCCAAAATAAATAGTTCCTTCATTTGCTAAGGAAGGGAGAGAGAGCGAGGGAGAAAATACAAAATTGGAGAGAAAAGAAGTTCAATCTTTAATTACAGCTTACACAGACAGAGGCGACAGCTGTTAGGAAAGGCTCTACGTTCAGCTTTGGGGTGGGCAATCGAAGAAGAAGTAGCCGTTCTATTGCTCGGTCAGGGCTATTATTTGAAGCCAGAGCCAGGACGAGGATAGGCCCAAAATAGCAGTAGCAGCAACATCAATAGTTGGAGTAAGTGAAATGGAATCCTTTTGCAAACATTGGCCCATTATTAACATTTACCGCAAACCAAGCAAACACGACACAACATGACATGACAGTACAAGACGCAACATGCACAACAGCAAAACTTTCATAAACAGGCGACAGAAGTTCCGGCAATCAGCAAAAGGAGAAAGAGCACCTACCCTACGCACGCCGAAGATAAAATACACTTAGGAAAAACCATCTCCCTGAAAAGTGTAATGTTTTTCGTCTTTGAATTTTTAAATATAAGAAAAAAACATTTTCCTAAAAATTAAAAAGGCTTGCCCTAAATATTTTCTATTATTGAGAAATGTATTTCTAAAGAGTAGAAACGCAAAAAATCATTTCTGAAATTCAGAAAATAGTAAGGAAATTCTGCTATTTTGGAAATTAGCTGTCTATTACTGTATTGTACTCAGGAAGAGTTCTTCAATGTACGCACTCACATGCAAGCTGCAATTTTAGAAAATGTATATACAAATTATATTCATATATTCTTTCTGAACGACGCTCCTTCAATGCGTTTCAAACTTCACGACTAAATTATAATACACTGCGCAAGGATATAAAAGGGGGAGAAATCGAAAGTAATTCCCAGTCCAAGCCTGGGCCAAGCAAAAAGTTTTCGTGTAAAATTATGATTCAAATTCAAAGGACAAGGGAAGCTAAATGGCTTGTGAGTTGCCCCTTTGCCCATATTTGTATTTATTATGATTTGGGCTCAAGGAAACATTAACAACTGACAATGAGCCAGAATACTCTAGTTGAGCGAATGATGCTGATCAAAAATATATAAACCTGATGATTTGAGATGTCTTCTCCATGTTAAGAAAAATAGTAAAAAAAAAAAAAGTATTAAATATATTTTTTTTGGTTTGGCTTTTAGTCTAATGTACTAAACAAGCTAACCAGTTACATGCCAAAATACAAACAAAATCCCTGAAACCAAACCCAAGGCTGAATCGTAACTAATATTTTTGAATAAACTCAAGCATGCTTGTGCAATTTGTATTATATTCTTTTTTCGCTTTTAATTAGCTCCTAGAATATTTGCAATACGGATCATATTGCATAAAGTTCACTTTACTGATAGAAACAAAGTGCAATTTATACATGATGTGCTCAACACGAGAATGAGTATGAAAAACAGTTGGAAACATTATCAGTATCAGTTACTAATTAAAAAGTGTGCTAAATTCTGAGAAATCGTTAGAACTGAAGGGGGGATTGGCAAGTTTTGTTTATCAGATTGTGAATGTTGATAAAATGACAGAATGATATAAATTTGATCTGCACATGATGCACAAGAACTTTTATTAAAAATCTCTCGCACGGAGAGAAGAACTTTGCTTAATAGATGTTGATGCTGATTTCTATCCACTTGCAAAAGCAGAACTTAAAATAAATAAAGTTCGCTTTGGCCATACAAAAAAAAAGATAAAACCTTTGAAATTTGAGAGTCAAATGCTCGAGTTTTCGTGCATACAAATTTCACAATTGGATTTGAAAGCAGCGACTTGAAATATGCTTAAGGGGTAGCTGCTAGTCGGACAAATTTACGCACACCATATATACCATATAAATGGTACTTTCTGTCGGTTATCCGTGCGTTCTGAGATTGTCTGCTAATAAAGGACAGCAGCCGGACAGCAACTGCAACGTGGAAGCAAATCAGCACAAGCAATAAACAAACCAACAGAAGAAGTCACAAATTGTCACAAACAAAAAATAATGGATGCTCCAGGCAAAATGATTATTGACTACAAGATACCCTGCGTATGTACAAAGACTCAGCTCTTCCCTCTGGTCAACACTATGTTAATTGTACAATTAAAATATATTTTATGTATATATAATTTTCCCAGAATAAAGAATTAATTTAATTTCCACCTTAACTTATATCTCAGGCCTGTTCGGCAGTCTGTCAAAGAGTAAAATTCCAAGAAATCTAAGATATAATAGCTGCGCAGTCAACTCAAAAAGGATTATGCTTGTTCACTAGAAATTGCTGCGTAGAAGCCACATAACACTTTGAATACCCCGTAATGATTAAAAGTGGGTTTGACTGAGTGCACGCATACACAAACACACATATACATACATATATGAGCACATCCTACATATTAAATTTAGTGCTTTACATACGACAATTAATGTATTCAAGATCTTAGAGTCGCTTTAAAATAGTTGTTTTATATATTAAATTTAAATTGTGCTTACCCATTGGACACTTCGAATAGGTGCAGGGTATACGAAACGCATCGGTTCCAAGGCAACGCATCCCAGGTGAAATTGGCTTGATGTGTATGTGTGGGTTGTGTGTTGAGACCCGGTTGAGCACTATGCAAAATGTCACAGAAGAGGTCAGTAAATGAATGTGAAAAAACACACGCTGGATAAACTTTGCATACACGCAAGTGCTTGTATGTGTGTGTGTGTGTGTGTGTGTGTGTGTAGGTGTACGTGCCGATGTGCGTAGGTGTGTGTGTGTCTGTCCTTGCATATGATGCTCATTTGGAGCGTGAATTGGTGAGCCTGCAAGCTGCCTTACCTACAGTGCCAATTGCCAATATGCGCTTGCTTTAATTGATGTAATTGTGAAAACACAATTTTTCGCTTTCGAATTATATTCGGAAACGCAAGTCCTGTCAGGATAAAATCTGGCTTAAATGGCATTAAAAGCCCACAAGCAATCAGATACATTTGGAAGATATCTTTTGAATGCTCACGAAAAGGAAAAGCTACATTAAAAAATAGCCATTAATAACGAAAATAAAATGTGGCCAAGAAAAATGTAATTCTCCCGAGAGCATATTGATTGGCCACGGAATAAAACGCTTATCAACTTCACATGGGAGACGAAAAGACAAATAAGCATAAGTTGACTACCTAAATACAGAAGAATCTAAATAATCTTTAATCTTTAAATAAGTCTATAGGGTCGGGTCACAACTGTTCAGTTCCCTAACATAGCCAATCGCTTATAAGATTAAATCAGATTTTTAGTATAGCCTGGATTTTGTTGTCTGCTGAAAATGAATGTCAATTTTGAGCACCTGTGTTTGATAGTTGTACATTTATAAGTATTTAATTTCATTGAATTATTGAAAATTACTTCAATGCATGTGTCTTTCAGCATAGTCGAAAGATTAAGCTTTTAGCTGTACATGTTAAATACGTTGTAAGCCTGCAAGTTTGAAGAGATACAAATTTCCTTATATTTCGGAATGTATATGTGTATGTTATGGGTCGTTCCAGCCGTGTACTTTGTTCCGGTACGGCACATTGTTACCCCGTCAATTCCGAGACAGCTTCTTTGTCATCACTTATTCTCGATAGATATGTGTATATTATGTTATTCATTACATTCACTAGACACTATATAGAAGTGGCTCAGCCCGTTTTTTTAATTACCAGCACTGCAAATTATTTCTTTAAACGTGTACTACAAGCCATGCCAACATCCTCTGTGTCCCCAATGTGTGTATCCTGTGTGTTCTACCCAAGCGTTGCTCCTTATTAAATTAAATGAAAAATTTCAACTAATAAATCAATATTTAAATAATTCATACAATTTGAGAGCGCTGGGCTGGGGTGCTTTTTGGGTTAGCAATGATGATCGATTGTTGGGTTTTCCATTTTCGTTTTGGGGGTTGTTAACATCATGATGAGCAGATGATGAGATGAGCCTGGTAACACAATATGTAACATGTTGGGGGACTTTGCGCCCTTACGGGAATTGTGGGTGGAGTTGGGATGGGGTTGAGACAAAGTGGCCTAGAAATACCAAATGTGATTATGTTGTCGCGTAACTTGAGAGATAATGTTCGGCCAATTTGCCAAATGGATTTGATAGAAATCGAAACAGCAGCTAATTGCACAGTCCTTGTTTTGTTGTTTATTTTTTTCTGCAGACTTACTAATATTGTCTAACTTTAAGCTTTGAGTAAGTAAATTAAATTTTGTACATTTTGATTTCAGTTAAATGGAATTACTAATAGTAGGCTTTGGAACATTTTTGAATTACCTTGTATTTCTTTTTTCATATAATCCAAGAAGGCTTTCGATTCAGATTTTTCAGTATCGAATGAAATGAAATAAAAATGTTTCAGTTTACTTTCAGAACTCAGATAGTTAACAACTCTTTTTTTCGTCTCGAAATTCCAAAATGTAACAAAATAGTGTTCGATAAAAAATATTAAAAATGTTTTTGTTTGGCACAATCGAAATTTAAAAGTGTTTAGTATAAGCGCTGCGCGTACATGTAAAATGTAAATAAAAATAAAACAAAATTCACATTCTGTTCAACAGCAATATATACACACATGCACACCAAGTAATATGACTCCATCTGCCTCCGAATCTAATATTCAGGTGAGCATGTCTGTAAAAATATACCTCTTAAAATCGACTTGGGTTTGAAAGAATATATGTATTATAAATACAAGCTACAGTCCTCTACTTGACTTGCCTGCCAATTGCCTCTCAAAGCAGGGCCACTACGGAACTGCCGACAAATATTACACACATCTCTGGAAACGATATTACAGATGTTAGTAATGGTAAGTGATTTTCAGCACAATCCCTTCTTCAACCTCTATATATTTTCCTCTCTCTCTCTCTCTCTCTCGCTCTCTCTCTTAATACAGCACGACGGGACCATGCCCCCAGATTTAAGGGCGTGCATAACACTATATATACATACATTCTTGCATCATATATTATATATAAGTATATAAGACGGAGGTACAAAAGATTTTTATGCCAAAATCCCATTTCAGCCACACACCTATTCCGGTAAGTTAGAGTTATCGAATTCTACTTGAGTTTTCTACGTCCATCATCCAAAATGATTTGTTCCTGCCTTAGTATTGAACGGTACCGCGTTCTTTAAACTTCGATTATAAATAACCTGGCCACCTTCGCTCCAAGAGTTCGTGCAGTTTGCGTTCAAGCAGAATTTGAGACATTATTTGTACCACGTGTTACACACATATATATAAATATAAAATGATATGCGATGACTAAATGAAAAACACAGTTGTATTATTAGTAATATCGAATGGAATCGAGATTTTTCTTTTTACTTATACATAATTTATAATTTCGTTTCCATTATGGCATTATGGCAAGCTCAAATATAATTATGGCTCGAGATACGCGAGCTTTTCACCACAAGAACAGTATGTGGCTTTTAGCATAGTTCGCATGATTTTATATGAAAACAAAGCTCAGTTGACAACCACAGCTTTTAACAGCTTTACCAGTCGACGATATATACAAATAAAAGCCGGTTGCTTTCATGTTCAAAACTGTGTTATCAGCTTTTTCGTAGCTTTATTGAGATATAATAACGCAAAGCTATTTCCACAACATTATAATGTTTATTTGTGCAAAAAGTCTGTTTACGGATCGAAAAAAGTTATCGACCTATAATTTATGTGCACTTCATATAGTCTATTCAATTAAATCAACCAACATTACGATGAGCAGGGCGCCAAACTCAAATATACAAAACAATTTAAATAATCTAATGGTTTGTTACTACTGCTGCAAGTTTCTTGGATAAGAACTTAAATTTTGACGCACTTCCAACATTGGCCTGAGCTGTGTGGCACAGTAAACTAAATAGTTGCAAGTCTATGGGTTCAAAGTTCCCATTCATAACTCGATGGTTTTAAGATATTTGCTAGCATATGTATATCTCTTTTGGCCATTCATTGAGCCATTAGTCATCTTGAGCCCGTCAGCAAAAATGCAGAAATGCATTTGCCCGCTGATTGGGCTATTGAATCAGTTGTGAACTGAGAACATTGCATATCGACACGTCGCGTCGAGGCGTCAAGAAAAATAAAGTCCGATAAGTCCCCAGATGCGAACTGATGATCGCCAAATGGACCCAGTATAAAACTTACCGCGTCTGCGAGCATACCAGACAGTTAATTAGTGAGTGAATGACTGAGAAGATGCTCGAAGTGTGCAGAGGACTCAAACAACTGTTGATCTGGAGTCAAGTGTTGAGCCTGGCAGCAGCGTCTGCGCATCCTGTCTGGCAATACAATGATCCGCAATTAGCGACTGCACAGTACGCCAAAATAATTGCCAGGATCAGTGAGAAAAATGGCAAGAATACCAGTCGGGACCAACTAGATCCCGTTCAGTTTCAATATGTCGACTATCAGCCGAAATGCAAAACGGGCGGCGAACCTGTCTGTGCAACAAACGGAAGCCACCACTTTCACTTTGAGAACAAGTGCAAATTGGAGGCGGCAAACATGAAAATGCTCTTTCAACACGGAACTGGTATGTACTATGTGATCGAGTCGAGTGATGCTCTTTAGAGTGATGCTAATGCCCAAATCTAGAGCTAGAGCAAACCGAACTGGAGCGATGTCTATCGGAATGTGAAAACATTCGCTGCAATAATGTTTATGCGCCTGTCTGTGCGACGACCGAGCAAACACCCAATCAGGGTCAAGGTGTGAGCTTTGCGAATGAATGCGAGGTCCAACGACGAGGTTGCATTACCAAGCAAAGTAGGTAGCAGATACAATCAGAAAAAATATCTCACTGAATTTTAGAAAATCACCCTAAAATGAAATGCACCCCGAAAATAAGAAGGTTTTCTTGTTCTCAGCATAAAATTCCAAAAATTAGAAAAGCTTGTCATAAATAACATCATTAAGAAATGCATTCCCAAGAAGTACAAATGCAAACTCTCATCTTCAGAAAGAATCCGTTCTAAAATTTCGAAACAAGTAATGAAATTAACTGGCTCGGCTTTTATATTAGAGTTTGTTATATACTCAACAAGCGTATGAATTTATAAAATATCTAAAATGTTTGTGAATGTGAAGTCTTAACATACTTAAATTAGTATTTTAAACAAAATTAACTAATGAAAAAACACCACAAAAATTGGACATCTTTATTCAAAAATTAAAAAAATAGAAAAATCCTAGTTTCTGAAACATACTTTTTAAATAATAAGATGAGTTTCGCTTGACGCTAAAACTATGGTGAATTTCTAAAATGCAGGACAATTTTTCTTCTGAGTGCGTTTATCCGTCAATTGGCTAATGTTTATCTAATTCAAAATCCAGCAATGCGCATCCTGAACAAAGGACCCTGCCAGCAGAAGTCAAAGTCACGGGGCAAGGCTAGACGTAAGCATACCAAACCTCGTCGCTTCAAAATCAGTAGCAAATCAGCACCTGCAACGCCCAGCAACAACAACAAGCAGATATTCTTTATGGTGCCCACAGAGCCCAGCAGCACTATCACAAAAGCAATCGGAACAACAACTACTACAACTACAACCACACCGTTTCCCATGCAATTCCATCATTTTAGAAGTCCTGGTAACCCCGATGTGTCCGTGTCGCGTGCTGTGAATGCCTACAGCGTCTATAATATACCCGATGTCAGTCTCAATTATGCCGCCATAATAGACTCGAGTCTGGCGATGTATTTGCCGGGTATCGGTACTGTCACCGATACGCCACCAAGCACCACAACAACTACAACAACAACCACAACACCGCGACCAACAACAGCCGTACCGCCTACCACCACACAGGAGAATCAAGTGAAATTCTATATAATGTCATTCGGCACTACGTCCACAACCACAAAGAGATCAATCGATAGCATCGATTTGAAGAGTGCAGAGAACTCCACCAGAAGTACCGCAACTAAGCAAATTGGTACCATCGCTGGCACTACCGTTGCCACCACAGTTGGCACCACAGTTGCCACCACAGTTGGTACCACATTGAGACCGCCTCAAGCGATGCCCAATGCAACCGCCTCGGAAACGGACACTGAAATTAAACCAAACCTAAAATCAGATTTTCTCAAGAAATAGCATTATCCATAAAATTTGAAAGTTTATCATTACAGAAAAAAAAACAGAATTTGAGTGAATTTTTATTTTATCCAAACTTACATCTTAACATTTAGTCTTATTGGTGTTAAATGGCTGTGGCTGTTTTTAGTTCCGCATGACATATAATAATTTTTTAAGTGTCTTTAGTTATTGTTTGTAGTTATTTCAGTTCTGTTGCGTCTCGACTTTTTGATTTGAACTATTTGGACCCACGAATACAAATACAAATGAAGGACCTTGTTTCGTATTTTGATTAGTGACTTTGATTTTTTGACCCTTATCCTCATTGGTCACTTCAACGATCACTTGGCTTTCCTTTGTATCTTCTTCACTAGGTGATTCCTGATCTAGCTCGTCGTTCACGGAACTGACTTTCAATGACTTAAGTGCTGGAGCGTAACTTTTTGGAACTGTGTCCTGACTCTTTTGACCATACTCTGATGTATAGTTAGATTGACGTGATTTCGACGCGGAAGCCTTTGTAGCGTAATCAGAATTACCGTAAGCTTTTGTTGTGGAATCATAAACCATTGCAGAGCTGTCTGATGGAGATTCCGATGTATCCGAGCGAGCTAAACTCCTTCCAGCGCTCTCTGGTGCCTGACTTACAGTTGGAGCTTCACTTGAGCTTTCTACGTTCGATTCTGTTGTGGATTCAGATGGAGCTGTTGTTGAATCAGAAGTGGAATCCGAGTCCGAGCTCTCAGAACGTTCCGTTGTGGAATCAGAAACTATTGGAGAGCTTTCTGATGAAGTGTCCGATGTATCCGAGGGAGTTGCACTACTTTCAGCGTCCTCTGATGTCTGACTTTCAGTTGGAGCTTCACTTGAGCTTTCTACTGTGGATTCCGATGGAGCTATTGTTGAATCCGAAGTGGGATCCGAGTCCGAGCTCCCAGAACCTTCTGTTGTGGAATCGGAAACTATTGGAGAGTTTTCAGATGAACTTTCCGATGTATCCGAGGGAGTTTCACTACTTTCAGCGTCCTGTGGTGTCTGACTTTCAGTTGAAGCTTCACTTGAACTTTCTACTGTGGATTCCGATGGAGCTATTGTTGAATCCGAAGCGGGATCCGAGTCCGAGCTCCCAGAACCTTCTGTTGTGGAATCGGAAACTATTGGAGAGCTTTCTGATGAAACTTCCGATGTATCCGAGGGAGTTTCACTACTTTCAGCGTCCTGTGGTGTCTGACTTTCAGTTGAAGCTTCACTTGAACTTTCTACTGTGGATTCCGATGGAGCTACTGTTGAATCCGAAGTGGAATCCGAGTCTGAGCTCCCAGAACCTTCTGTTGTGGAATCAGAAACTATTGGAGAGTTTTCAGATGAACTTTCCGATGTATCCGAGGGAGATTCACTACTTTCAGTGTCCTCTGATGTCTGACTTTCAGTTACAGCTTCACTTGAGCTTTCTACTGTGGATTCCGATGGAGCTACTGTTGAATCCGAAGTGGGATCCGAGTCCGAGCTCCCAGAACCTTCTGTTGTGGAATCAGAAACTATTGGAGAGTTTTCAGATGAACTTTCCGATGTATCCGAGGGAGTTTCACTACTTTCAGTGTCCTCTGATGTCTGACTTTCAGTTGAAGCTTCACTTGAGCTTTCTACAGTGGATTCAGATGGAGCTATTGTTGAATCCGAAGTGGGATCCGAGTCCGAGCTCCCAGAACCTTCTGTTGTGGAATCGGAAACTATTGGAGAGCTTTCTGATGAAATTTCCGATGTATCCGAGGGAGATTCACTACTTTCAGCGTCCTGTGGTGTCTGACTTTCAGTTACAGCTTCACTTGAACTTTCTACCTGCGGTTCTGTTGAGGATTCGGATTGAACTGCTGTCGAATCCGAAGTGGAATCCGAGTCTGAACTCCCAGAACCTTCTGTTGTGGAATCAGAAACTATTGGAGAGTTTTCAGATGAACTTTCCGATGTATCCGAGCGAGCTAAACTCCTTCCAGCGATCTCTGGTGTCTGACTTGCAGTTGAAGCTTCACTTGAACTTTCTACGTTCGATTCTGTTGTGGATTCAGATGGAGCTGTTGTTGAATCCAAAATGGAATCCGAGTCCGAGCTCCCAGAACCTTCTGTTGTGGAATCAGAAACTATTGGAGAGCTTTCTGATGAACTTTCCGATGTATCCGAGGGAGTTTCACTACTTCCAGCGTCCTGTGGTGTCTGACTTTCAGTTGGAGCTTCACTTGAGCTTTCTACGTTCGATTCTGTTGTGGATTCAGATGGAGCTGTTGTTGAATCCAAAATGGAATCCGAGTCCGAGCTCCCAGAACCTTCTGTTGTGGAATCCGGATCAGAATTCGTAGGTGACGATTCAGTTGTAGATATATTGTCCTCCACTATTCCAACTACAAATTGTGCTGAACTCTTTGCTGATTCCTTACCACTTTGAGGATCTGGTTCAGATTCAGATCGAACTTGTGTTGAATACGCATTGGAATCCGAGTAAGAATTAGAATTTGTTTGTGACGTTTCAACTGGGGAAGGCGATTTAGTATATGTCGATTTATTTTCCGTTGATGTTCCATTTGGTTTGGAGTTTGTTTTTGTTGCATATGCATCGCTCGACTCGGTGGGCAAAGCGTCCCTTGAGATCGATATACGATACGATTGCAACTGCGATACTGCATAGGGGTTCGGTGGGGGATTGTATGTTCCGCTATAAGCTTGTGGCTCGTAACCATAAGGTCTATAAGCTGGATACGGTCCGTTACCAATGGTATAACCGGCATATCCATAATCTTCATCCTCTACACATGGTCGATTGCGTTGCAATCTCCAAGCTGAAATGATATAAAAAATATATGATAATGATTTGATATATATAGCGAAAGATATAAATGAAAATATAGAAAAAATAAATGGAAAATGTTGAAAAGATATTGGGATGGGAATCTGTATAGATTGAAAGTCAAAAGAAATTGACAATGTAGAGAATAGATATCAAATAATATCAGAAATACTTACGTTCCCCCGAAAAGCATTTCAACTGCAGCAGTTCACAGAGGTTTTGAAAAGTTCTCTGTGTATATCCACTTGCTCCACAGACGGGACTCCATTTGGGCGGACAATTAACCGGGCACTCGCAGGGACCCTGGAAAAGTATGCGCCAATCTGTCAATTGGAAGAGTCATATATGTGATATGTGATAAGTATTCCATAATGCATAATTCCAGATTATATCGAGAACTCACATTGTCTCGTTAGGCAGCTATAGCGCTGCACCTCGCAGCTATTGTCAAATGTCGCCAGCTGCTGCAATCCATGAGTCTTCGCACAGACCTCCTGTTTTTCGGTCGAACACTGAATGTAGTCACAATTTGTGGCAGCATAGTGGTCGGGTTGGTAGCCATAGCTGAAGACGCCACTTATCAGACTCAAGCACAACAACAAATAGAAATCAACCATTTTGGAAGGAATCCTATCCACGAATATGGTGTAGCCTTAGAAAGGCTGCGCTTTTTATACGAGTTCCAACAATATTTCCTCATATCATTGCAATGTCTACGTGTCCAGAGCTCCATTTCGGTACTTAGTTTATCAGCGCTTCTAGGTTAAGGCCAGACGTTTTGCGTTTAGTTTACTTTTAGTTTGTTTTTAATTTTTTCATAACATTTTGTTTTTGTTTGTTTTAGCTTATGAAATTGTTCGAGTTGTACTCATATCTGGTATTCGTGTTAAACGTAAACTTTGCGCCATGGGAACTTTTGTGAATTAAAACTTGGCACTTTCGGAACGAGTTACGAATTACGAATAATGAATAATGGCAATGATAATGATTAATTGGACAAGCACTCAGCATATTATGAGTATTATTAACAATTACCAAGGTCAGCAAATAACGGAAAGCTATTCGATTTTGCAATCGTAGACATGCCGAAGAAAACACACTTATGCATTCTTTTGATATGTAAACTTTAAATCGATATAATGACCCAAAGTTGATGATTCATCGCTAGTGAGTTAGATAGTCCAGATATCTTGGTTAGGAATAAAGTCTTTCATAACAGAACCTTATATACTCCAAGATACATCAATACAGATTTAAAACTGAAAGAATATACAGACTTTATATCACTCAGAAAATAATTTGAAACCTCTAAGACAACAGTAAACTCGAATATAAAAGCCGGACCAGTAAATTTCTACATTTTAAAAAGGATGTTTTCTTCAAAAAAATTCGCAAAACTTAAAAAAAAACTAACCATAATTTTTGAAAATTTTTGATGTAGAGGCTTTTTTTTAAATTTCTTGCTTATATTTCGAAATGAATTCTACGAACAAGAAATACGTTCCATTTATCAAGGCGAATTTCATTTTAGGGCGATTGTCTAATATTGTTATGCTGATCAAGGATATATAATCTATAAGGCAAATACCCTTAGCAAGGGGATCAGAATACTACAAAGCATTTCTTGCGCTATGTTTTGCGTCTTTAAATATATACGAATTTTACGATGAGCTAGCAAAATCAATTATTATTAAATTAATGTAAAAACTACGTAAATCAGCAAATATCTAAAATACTAAAAGTAAAGAAAAGTTACAGCAAAATCAGAAGGAACTTGCAATTTTCCAGTGTCTAAATAGACTCTGAAATTAAGTTTTGCAAGTAAAACTAAAAGTTAGTAACAAAAATATATTTCTTGCATTTAGAAATTGTTTCTAAAATCAAATAGGTAAATCTTAATTCCGGAACGTGTTCCTATGAATAAACCCTATTTCCCTTCTGGGCACAGAGAATAAAAATTGTAAATATTTCAAGTACTCGAGTTTAATGTGATTGTGATAGTAGCAAAGCCGACACGTCTGAAATTTGAATACACACATAAATTGCTTGAGTTGTTTTTTTTTTTTATTTATATTTGTATATATATATATATGTGAATGATTGGTCTACTTAAAACGTATGCATAAATAAGTCTTTGCGATTATTATGTAATATGATATTATTGTGGTAGGTCGCTAAGCGTAATATTGTGACAAGTTGGGCGGCACAGCTGCTGCGTATGCAGAACCATAGCCTGATGCAGAGGCTGCACTGGAAGCACTAGGAATACTTCCATAAGGGTTACGATATCCATTGGCATTACCATTATAATAGGAGTGACCAAAGCCAGAACCGTAGGCAAAGCTATACAGGTAACCATATGGCATGTAATTAACCAATTTATATGGGGAGCCACTAGGCCTGGTGTCATATGTCGTAGTGCCATAGTTTCTATCTGGGCTGCTAGAGTTGCTGATCAGGCATCCGATAAAATTGAGCGGTTCCGATATGCCCCTATGCTGTACCATCAGAGAGGTCGCTTCGGCGCATGTCTTTTTGCCGGTTATTGGATCAGTTGTCTGGGAGTTGAGTGCAAGTTTGTACACTTTACCACTTTCCAATGTAAATACCAGAGAAACCAGAGTGTTCTACGCGCATTATAAAGAAGATAGACAAGTTATACGTGTACAAACTTATTGTAACATAACACTCTGAATACTTACGGAATCCATATCGTTAGTTGTTGTCTGTGGTGTGGAGTCCGCTGTTGAGGAGTCTGCAGCTACAGTTGTAGGTTCTGTTGTTGTGGATGTTGTTGTAGCCTCTGCTGTAGCCGCTGTTGTGGAAATCACAGAAAATTATAATATTAGTTTAACTGATTTTGTTGTGATGTCTTTATGATTTATCTGTGTTGTGGTTGATGTCGTAGGTGGACTTGTAAAGTTGTCTCAATTGTCTTTCACGAAGGTTATGTGAATTGTGTAGTTAATGTTGTATGTTGTAAGTTTGCTTGTGAACAATCGTGTTATACCTATTGATCTGGACGGTGCATCGAATGGCAAGAACTTTATAGACATTGCCGAGTTGACAGAATTCGTTGCTGTAGTTGCAGTAGAAGCTGATTCGGTTGTTGCAGTTTCTGTGCTTGACATTTCGCTAGAACTCGTTGAGGATGGTGATGAGCTTGAATTTTCAGTAGAGTCTGTTTCGGAACTTGAAGTGGCTGTAGAGCTTGATGCGGATGGTGTTGTGGTTGGTGTTGAGGATGCTGTTGTACTTGGCATTTCGCTAGAGCTAGTTGGGGATTGTATTGTGTCTGGAATTGCAATACTGCAACTGCAGCTTCTTGAGGAAGATGGTGTAGATGGTGTTGTACCACCTGTTGTACTTGCGATTTCGGTTGAACTTGAAATACCAGTAGAGCTTGATGTGGATGATGTTGTGGGTGGTGTTGAGGAAGCTGTTGTACTTGACATTTCGCTAGAGCTCATTGAGGATGGTGATATGCTTGAATTTTCAGTAGAGTCTGTTTCGGAACTTAAAGTGGCTGTAGAGCTTAATGTGGATGGTGTTGTGGTTGGTGTTGAGTCTGCTGTTGTGCTCGACATTTCGCTAGAGCTCGTTGAGGATGGTGTTGAGTCTTCTGTTGAGCTTGTAGGAGAAAGTGTAGTAGATGATGTTGTTGATGGTGCTATGAATGGTGTTGTAGATGATGCTATAACTTCAATTGCTATTCTATTCTCTCTTGAGATTGCTGTAGAGCTCGTCGTCAATGGAGTTGTGGATGGCGTTGTAGATGTCGTTGTGGAGGGCGTTGTGGACGGTGTTATGGATCTTGATGTAGATGATGTTATAACTTGTAATCTGCCTAATAATCTCGTTGGACTTGTTGAAGATGTTATTGTCTCAGCTATTATTCCTGAGATTGCTGTGGAGCTCATAGGGGATGGCGTTGTTGACGGCATTGAGGATGGCGTGGTGGATGTTGTTGGATACTGGGCCGGAGTATATAGCTTCATTGGTCGTTGAGTCAAATACTCCTGTCTACCACTATACTGATCCCAGAAGCTGGCGTAGTCATTTCTGCCTCTATGTGTATTCTGTGGAACTGGGGAATAAAGGTTCTGAGAATTGTGGTAGTTATACGAATCCGATTCATATGGATAGGGCTCCGATTCGTATGGATATTGTAATCCATTGGCGTAGGCGGAGGCGGAGGCAACAGCAGAAGTAGCGTCATTTAAATAGGACCTCGGTAGTGGACGTGGCCTTTTGAATGCATTGTAGTCGTACCACGTTGAGCGCGGCAAGCAGTGCACCATATCGGCTTGCACCAGTTCTGCAAGCAGTGCGAAAATATAGTCAATTTAGGATTTGAAATTTTCCAATAATAAGAATTACCTCTTTGTCCCGCAAAAAGCAGTTGCAAATTGAAGGCGTCCAAACAGCAGATGTTGTTAAATGTGCGATAACAATAGCCATTGGTGGCACAGACGGGACGACCACATTGTGTGTAATCAATGGGCTGCTGAAGGTGCTGTTCGTCCTGGCAACGCTGAGACTCAGCCAAGCAAGCGAATAAAATTAAACTGATGAACTGCGCCCACATCTTGTTGAAGGTGTATACTTTGCCACTGACATGTCCAACTCACCCAACGCTCGCTTTTTTATACCTACACGGGGCATTACGCATTACAGCTGCGGCTGCTGCTGCTGCTGCGGCTGCTGCTGCTGCCTCAAATCTCAGTCAGCTGAGACGCTTACGTCTTTATCATCTTAGACGCTTACGTGCCTGACCTGCGCTTTTAACGTTTGCTTTTGGCGTTACAATTTAGCAGCTGGTTTAACAAACTACTAATTAACAGCCTGGCTTAGCGAATTGTGCTTTGTTCCTAGCACGAAACACTATTATATAATATTTTGGGTACTATTCAACTAGAAAGAAAAAATCGCACTGCTCTTAAAAATCGGTGCAGCATTGTCAAATAATAGATCGAGTCGGAAATCCGAGTAAGGAATTAAAATTATACAGTTATGCAGGATTTTTGGATGATCGTAGAATCTGATCTTCGTTGGAAAAAAATTTAAAAAATTAAATAGAAAAATGATTATTATTGTCTCAAGACTTTGAGGATGAATAAATAATCGTTAATCGTAAAATATTAATTTATTAACATAAAGAGCTTAACTAATTGTATGACATGGGTTAAATGGGCAACATTTTTTTTAATCAAGGAAGAAAGAGTACAATAAGTTTGTGCGGTACTCTGTGTGAAAGGGGTATGTGTGAAAAACCTTGACTCTGCAACTCTGCAACGTATTTTGTATTCATTAATTTGATGCATATGTTTGTTTGCTTTTGTGATTTCTGATTTGTGTGGGAGTGAATTGCTTTGCACTGCTTGGCGCACAGTTTGACACAGCTTGCCATTTGAAGCTGCAACAGCGTGCGGTCAAGTAGTACAGAAAGCAGTGCACATCACCAAATTACGTTCCACACATAGCAACGAGTCCTGCTTGAGACATTTACAAGCCAAAAATATATTAATTGAGTGTTGTTACTTTCGTCTTCGGGTTTAATTTGTTTTGCTTAGTATCTTATACTGTTTATCCAGCGATGCAGTTGTTCAATGGAACTGTTATGTAAAGGTGATTTGTAAAGTGATTTTAATTCATCAAAATTCTATCTTTCTGTACACTACATATAAACTTATTTTATTCATTAAGTGCTTAATTAAATGAAGTCTCAGATTTAATTTGTCGATTGCACAACACCTTGTAAGAAATCAATAAATTGTTGTTTTTTGTATTTGAAGCTGCCCCAAAATGAAACTTCCTGTTGTTAATTAACAATAAATAAACCTTAAACTAAGTTCTATCACTACATACAATTTATGGGCAAAAAGCTCAAACAAATATCATATTACCATATTCAAAAGCAACTCACAGTGGTCTGATATTTATTTGCTGTAGTCGAAAAAAAAAAATATATATATATATTTAAATTTTTTTCTACGTTATGGACTTACTTGCAGCCTGTTCAAGCAAATGAGGTTTATAGTCATTCGACATGGTTTTATTTTGATTATAAATAGAAATTTTAATTTCCAGGGCATAAGTTTGACCGTGTTGGAGATTTAATTAGTTTGTGAGTTGTGAATGCAGAGATAACATATTATTAAATCGCATGCCAAACAAAGTTATACTCTTAACAATCTGTACCAACAAAAAATGAATAATAATAGTAAGTTTTTAATAAAAAAAAAAGAAGAGAAAACCCCATTTTATTTATAGCTGAAGATGTGAAATTTGAAATCTTTGGCATGATTTTTGAATTGTGTACCACAGTGCCTGCAAAATCATTCCTTGGTCTGCGTCAATTAAAACAGCCCTCGTATAACAGTTAGCACTGCTTGCTGCTCCTTTGGGAAACGGTTTTGAGGAGCTTCGCAGCGACGACGACTTCATTTCCTAACTCGAAGCCGTTGCGAGCGGTCGTCGCGGCATTTTCCCACAATTTATTCAGGATTTCTTATGCTGCTGTGTTTACCAAGATTTGTTTTTTTGTTATGTTTGGCGCAGAATTTCGAGTGTATCAAAAGTTTAGATAAATTCTAGTGAAACATTGTATATAATAATTGGATTTCAAAGTTGAGCGTAAACACAAAAACGGTCTCCCTGCCACAGATGGCCCTACTGCGACTAGGTAAGTTTCCGAAACGGATCTGTGTATATAGCTAATGCGAAAGTATTTGCTTTCTATAAATAGTCTGCATAAAATCCCACACACTTTGGCACAAGTAAATTGAATTTGATTCGTTTTTTGTCTTTCTTTGCTTTGTTTAGCTAGTTAATATATCTGTGCCTTCCGTTTTATTTATTTATTTTTGTGTTTTTTTTTTTGCCAAAATTGATGTGTACATATTTATCAAGGGCTCTGCCCAGCATTCAAATGCAATTTCCGCAAATCCAAAAAGGGTAGCTCAAAACCAATTGAAATTTCATGTCAATGCATTTATGATTTATTCACACGGTGCCACGACGCCCCATACACCCCCATCAATTTTCCCTTCCTCTGTGTGGAAGTGTGTCTATTCCTCTCGAACGCCTGAGTAAATACTAAAAAATAAACAAGTGGTACTCTCTCATTTCTAAAGAGAGCTCAACTAGAAGATACCCTATGCACATAGCAAAGTTGATATTCAAATCGATTGTTTATAAGTTTGGAAATACAAATTTTTGTTCCGCTGAACATACAGATAGGACTTAGCAATTATGAATATTATGAGATCGACTTGCTTATACAAGGCAGACGGACACACAGGCGGCTATATCAAATAGGGTCTTGATGCTAATCAGGAGAATATAAATTTATGTGAATATATGCAGGTGCTCGATCTAAGATTGGAAATGCTTCTTCCATACAAAAAACAGGGTAGAGTGATATAAAGACATAATATTTATCTCTCTGTCTGTCTGCCTCACTACCCAGTCGATTGCACGGGGTACGAAAATAATCCCAAAAAAAAATCTATGAAACATTGCGTTTAGGCCACGAACAAAACCATATTATTTATTCTGTGCGACTCGCTGCGGCTTGCTGATTTGATTAGCTGCCTAACCGCTGCACAATCGATGCTGAAATCCTCCACTGTTCAAACTGAGCTCCCCTTCCCCTCCCCGTCCTTTCCCCCAATTTAAGCAACGACCACTCATTAAAGACGACAATGCGTTGGGGCAAACAACATCTTGGGGAAGTCACGTGTAGACAAATTCAATAGTCTCTGGCGACATTTTCTAACTGGATAACTTTGAGTTGTATTCAGTGGTGGTAAGACCCCCCTTACCTCCACCCCCACCCCTTCATCAACTCAACTACCCCTTCGCTGCCATTAAGTTCCAGGTAAATTGAATTGACTTCTGTTCGCGCTTTTGTTCTCAAATTTGTTTGTGGCCATTTTCCGACCGTTTGTCACACTTTTGTTGCCTGTTGTCCGTTGTTATTTTTGTTGCTGTGGCTGTTGTTGTTGCTGCATTAGATAAAACCATTCTAAATGTCATCTGCAATCTGAGTGATAAATGCCTTTTTCCCATATACCCTTCCTTCCGCTGGGAGCATTTCTAATACAGTGTTTGCCTGTTAATAGGAAAGATCAGAAAATTACAAAGCATTAAAATATCTCGTGTAAACTGAGTAAAAGCATCCAAACTTAGCTGTTGGATAAGAATATGCAGACAAGAATAAAAACATGACTGCAAATCTTTATTCAATAATTGTTAGAATCGAAGAAAATTATTAACCTTCTAAGAATATGTTGTTTAAAATGAAAATGAAAAGGAAATGTTAGTAGACCGCAGACCTGGTGCAATATATTTTCTGTTTTAAATAATTGAGCTCATTCTAAGAATTTATTCCTATTTGATTCTATTTTTAGGCGAAACAATAATATGCATTCATTTAATCATTCGAATTATCGTCAGCAAAATAAAATATTGAATAGTTGATTGAATCAACAAGTGAATATTCGAGTAATACAGTCAATGCGGCAACTCACAACTTCTTGAGGCTTGAAGGACATGCGTCACTAATGAGGCAACTGGCAACTGGCAACTGAGTTGACCTGAGGACTGCAGGACCTGTCCATCAGACTTGTGGCCATTTTGGTTCAAGTGGCGCCCATATTTGCCCCCAGTCTCTCCCTCCATTAGCAGCTGCTCTCTTGTCCTGTCGTCATTTACTCATTTTGTTTTTTTGGTTTTTGTTTTTGTTTTTGTTTCGGTTTAATAGCATAATTTGGGGCGTGTCTGTGCGGAGGCTTATGAATTTATCCACAGTACTGCTACTCGCAGTTTTTATTGTAGCCGACTTTTGGGCGCTTATTAAATTTTTATGCCATCACAAACAACAACAAGCAGCAACGAGACTGTTGCAAGAAATGGACACTGGATTGAATTTCATTGCCGCAAATGTAGACATCGCCTTTTTATTTTTGTTACACACCCACAGGCTCACACTAAATATACAAATTTGGTAATTGTGCACTTCATGTATATTTAATTTATTTTACTTGACTCCAACTCCCATTTTCCCACATCTGCTGTTTATATTTGTTTCCTTGCCAGTGTTGCAACGTTTGTTTTTTAAGTCATCCCTCGTTTTACATATTCTCCTGAATCATCAAATGTGTTAATTATATAGTATGTTCTTAATCAGCACCAGTAATGTGGGCAATCAATCAAACCATCCGCATTAATTCTATTAAAATAAAAATTCCACTTTTCATATGCAACTATCGACCAAAAGATGATTTCTTGAATGAAAGACATTTGTTGTTATAATATCAGCATCCATAGCTCTGCCTTCTTCCTCACTACTTATTCGAAATCAATCCAAGTACTTCAAGTTCAGAACAAACTAGATGTTAATTGGTTTGCCAGCCTTTTTTTTATTATCAATATTTCCCTCCGCCTCTATTTTATATCTGTGTGTTCTTCTCACTTTGCCAGTAATAGGTAATCAATTGATTGTGTTTAGCAATTTATAGCTAGTTGATGCCGTAGCTATAAGACTCATTACGAATTCATAAAATGCTACCTTTGCGAATTTGAGTTGGGAGATGCGGGCTGGGGTTGCCCCAAAGTGTGGCTAGCAGGTGTCGTAAATTGTGTGTTACGATTGTGGCACTTTAATCGATTCATTTGATTTCCGGCAACGGCGAACACACGCGGAGTCCAAAGCCAAAAAGACGTTTGGCCAAGTTCAAGTAATCAAAGCCAATAAAAATAAATCACACACACACGCACTGTTGACCCCCCCCCCCCCCCCCCACACACACACGCACTGATTTGGATTAATTGTAAACAACAGCAGCAATAACAATAACAAATACAACAACTATGGAGGTGTACAGGCAAATGGTGTAAGCCAATTTAACGACCATAAATATCAATTCAAAGTAAAAAGAATAAAATCAAAATCAAAATCCAAATCAAATTCTTTGAGCCAAGCAACGTGTTTTCCACGGCGTCTCCTTGGCTTTGATTTATGTATGTCTGTCTTATGAAATTTAAATAAAATATTTGCCCAGCTAAGCAAATTTATTAAAAATATGCACAGTGTAATTCAAAAAGTTGTACAACGAATACTCTTACTACTTAAGAGATATATATTTAAATAAGGTATTCGATTCAATTCCTTAAATATTTTACTATAACAAGTTGGAGATAAATATGCGAAAGTAAATTGGTTTCCAGCAGTGTGACAAGCTGGAAACAAATTGAAATTCAGTATTTTTTGAAGAACCATTTGTAGTTCATAACGTGTACCATAATGGAAACCAATAAGAACAAACTTATTTGGAGCCCATTGATAGCTGGAATAGGAACCGAAATTAGATTCGCTCATCTGCAGCGATTGTTTATAGTGAATTATATATTATATAGTGATGCGATCTATCCAAGTCAAATTCAAACTTTTAGAGATGATTTAACAATGCTTTCCAAATCAACACTAATTCAACTAATTTTGAAATGCTCTCTTTAGTTAGAGTATAGCGAGAATATTTTGATTTATGTGTCTTGCCAGCCTGTCGATAACCGGCTTAAGATGCTGCCAATGACAACAAGAACAGCAACAACAATGGCTGGAACAATTGGCCCAATTGATAGCCGGCTATCAGTGTTGGCCAAAACTCACTCGCGCTGCTGCTTTTTTTTTTCTTTTTTAATATATATATTTCCCCTACACTTTTCCACTTTACGTTTAAGCTTCTACATCCGGGGGTCTTTTTCCCCTTTTCTTGTTTACCGCTTGGCGTTTTGATAGCCGTGCTGGGGGGGAAAGTGTTTGAAAACTAAAAGCCGTTTTTAATACACTCTACCAATTGCGTCTTATGGGTTACTTTGTGTAATATGTAACGTATGGCGATTTGAATCAATATTCTTGCGATGGAGTTTAATTTATGACTTTGAAATAAAAGGGGATGTGTTGAACAAGATTGAATATTTGGCACAAGCGTTTATTGAGTGCTTTTAATATTTAATGCTGGCTTTCATCGTAGTGTATTCAATAATTAATCTTGCCACTTTCAACTTTGAGTCATTTCATTCGCCTGTTTGCCAACTTTTACTGAATGCGGCAGTTTCTCGCGGTTGTTGTGAGTCTACTGACAAATCAAATCAAGCCATAATTTAATTTATTTCAATTAAAAATCGTTTTCAACAAATTCAAAAGAGTTACAAATGCAAGAAAATAAAATAAAATATGGGATACAGCAGTTAAATGTCAAGTACAATTTAAGCGATATGCCTTCGAGAAATGCTATTGAAACTATGAGTTTGAAATTTATTCTCGGCACAATACTTTTTTATAAAATATCAGTGACAGAATTATTAATAAATCTTATTAAAATTGACACGCAACTAAAATAATAAAGTACAAATGGAAGACAGATATTTATATAGAGTCAAATCGTATATATAAATATATGTAAATGACGCTTGTTGAACAAAATAAGGCTTAAAACTCAATTGCTCGCATATTGTCGTCCGTTAATAGAAAATTAAATGAATCTTTTTAGATACCTGAAATCATATAAGGGCAAAATTCAGCAGAAAGCAACAAAGCCTTAGTGAAAAAATTAAATAAAACAATTTGAATATAAATGTGTTTTGCGTGTAATGCAAAATGCTGCCTTCGGCATCTCAGCTATGGCTATGCCCATGTCTCTGTCTCTGGCCCATCCTTAATTTCCGCCATGGAGAAAATGAATGGGTAACCCAAACCCAAACTTTTCTCTTTTTTTTTTTTTGAGGGCAGCGCCATTGTCTCGCTTTGTTTTTTATAAGCTTTTTAATGCCATTTATTGTCGGCAGATAAGCACGAACAATGCCCGGGAAAAATAAGAGCACAAGTGGAATACAAAATAGAAAATCAAATACGGAATACGGTGAACAAACAACAACAAAAACAATTGCAGAACATGTCAAACAACAACAGACACCTGTTCATACTGGAAGTGTGCGATAAGTGGAGGCCTCAATTGAAATCTGTTTCTCTTCTCACGAGATCGTTTAATAGAAAGATTGTGCATCTTTCAAGTGTGTTCTTCTCTTTTGCATACTGAGAATCAATCATTTTAGGTACGTGCTCAAAAATATGTATCCTGTGTCCGAGTTTCCTTGCAGATTGTTATACTTTAGAATCACAATGCATTCAACGACTGTTAGCTCGAAATCGATAGTGAGTCTATATTAGAATATCATTGTTTTCTTGGCGATTACGAGGGATATTTGAATGTCCTTTCCCCGGTTGATTGGCACTGGTCAAAAACCAAATCGCTCGACACAGGACTTGCGCGAATATGCAAGGATATAGCTGAGCTTTAAGTACATATATATTTTTATAACTAAATTGAAATGGAAAAACTACGCTAATTTTTTGGATTTTCTTCTTTTTTTTATGCACGAAATACATATATATTTTTGACATCATCCGTTTGTTTTCCTATCTGACTTATTATATTGGAGCTGGCATTTACATAATTTTATTACTGTCTGACAACTGACTTAGCAATTGTCCCAATTGCGTTTAACTTAATCTTTGTACATTCAAATATTTTGTTTTCCAATTTCATAACAATTTCGACAAGGTCTTGAAAGAAACCTATTTCAATATATAAACCATTCCGCAACAGCTGTGAATAATTAATTGGCACCGCCTTCTTATGTTTATTGAGATTCATGCTTCATTATTTGGTATTGTACCATAATTGTTGAGCCAAATTAGTCTTTCTGTTCCCTCTATCGTTACTTCTTCATAACATTTTCGCATGCATTTGTACTAATTATTTCTTGGTTTGATTGTGAGTTTTTTCTAAGTTTTCTCCAACCGTGCAACACGTGCCACATATTTTTATTTAATTAAATTTAAATTTGAATATTACAATTTAATTGTCATTTAATTTTGATTGACATTAGTTGACATTGAATAAATAAAAAATTGGTTGTTTGCGAGCCTTGACTTTTTGACATTGATATGTTCCCGTTTCATGTCATATCATGGGTATTTGCTTAGGCCTTACACTATGCAGCCACTAATTCCGAGCAAACCAACTCCATTCTGACTGACAGTGAGTTGGGCAGTAGCAATGAGACAGTTCGTATCGAGATTAACGTTTAGCAACTGAAGGCCAAGTGCATTTAAGACGATCGTAATCACATTGAGCTGCAAGAGATGAAAGTTATTGGATATGATATGAGAGAGGAAATTAGGGAATATTATTATTAGAAATATAGATAATATGCAATAAAAACAACCAATCCAGATGTCATTTCAAATTGCAGTACTTACTCCCGGAGGCGTTGGAGCAGGAGTCGTTGGTGCCGGAGTCGTTGGAGCCGGAGTCGTTGGAGCAGGTGTCGTTGGTGCTGGTGTTGTGGGTGCAGGTGTTGTAGGGGCAGGTGTTGTGGGTGCGGGGGTTGTAGGGGCAGGTGTTGTGGGTGCAGGGGTGGTGGGTGCAGGGGTTGTGGGTGCAGGTGTTGTGGGTGCGGGGGTTGTGGGTGCAGGGGTGGTGGGTGCAGGAGTTGTGGGTGCAGGTGTTGTGGGTGGGGGGGTTGTGGGTGCAGGGGTGGTGGGTACAGGTGTCGTGGGTGCAGTAGTTACTGGTGCATCCGTAGGCGGCAGGGCATATGTATATCCAGGCCGATAAGTCCGATAGGGCTTCGCATTCGAGCCAGGCGCCTCGGCAACCGCCTTAGCACCATTGGGTCCACCCGCAGAAGCATAGGCATAGGAACGGGTGTCACTATTCCCGGAATTGCTGTAGATGGTACCCGCATCGCTGTACACGTATTTGGTCTGCGTGCCTTGGGCATTTCCTGAGTCGTACTGGCCGTAGTTGTAGTCATAGGAGTCGAAGGAGTCACCATAGTACTGGGCAACCGCAACTGCAATCGTCAGGCTGGCGATCATAAATGCGCTCAGAGCTGACATTGTGAATGGATTTGGATTCGATTTGGAGTTGGAGTTGGTTGCTCGTTGCTCGTTACTCGTTGCCCACGTTGGGTGTCTGTCAACTGACGAGTTATGTTGGCCGCATCGCTGCCTTATATATAAATGTGTGGCAAGCGCTGCTGCAAACAGATGACGTCTTTTACCATGCACTCAAACATGAAGCACACATAATTGATTTATCGGCGCACGTGACTCATTGTTCGCCAAGCCGGGAACAGACTCAGCTGTGATTCTTAGACCCGTCCAATAAGCTGACATTCAACATATTAATTTTCTACTTTCTGCACGTTACCTTATCTGCCATATACGTGGATTTACGAATCATTTGCCAATTATGACACAATGAAAAACAATTTTGAATAAACATTCACAGCCAATGGTTTTGCAGTTATGCATTTTAGTTGCGAAATAAAATTGGGCTTCAAACATAGATATAAAAACAAAGTGAAATTTTCAAATAGAGTTTCCCTAGTGCTTTCCAGTCCGATAAAAAAACATATATACCTATGTTTAATTTGAGTTTAAAATATATTTTGCTATTATTTGTATACGCTTTATTTATTTTTATTTAGTTCTGAACAGAAGCATTAATGTTCACATTTATAAAATATGTTATGACAGACTAATGACAGAGATTAAAAGTAAACAATCTAGATATAGATATTGATACAGATACTGTATTATGTATTTCCTTTAAAGTTCTACGACATGACATATATTTTGAAAGTAAGCTACTCTCTCTAGCATTCTCCCTTGCCCTCTGTGTGTCTGTAATTGGACAGTTGCTGTTAGTGTTGTTAGTGTCATCCAACTTTGAAGAAGATATAAGCCTTAAGAGCTGCAAGCATTTGTGCTTGGACAGGCATCTTTGCAGTGTGTGGTCAAGCTTGTCGGGAGGGAGGTCAACTTAAGTGAACTCTTAAAGCTTGTTTGCAACAACAATTTCCGGCACTGCGAGCTCTGAAATCTGGAAAGTTTTTGTTGCTTTTAGAAGTAATGTCTAAAAATAAGTAAAAAATTTCTAAAAATTAGAAAGGCTTGAACAAATTGACAATTTTGTAATGTAATTTAACTAATTCAATTAAGTTATATGAATTTATAAGCTTGTACATGTGAAATCTTAAAATAGTAATGTTTATTAATAATATGAGTAACAAAAAGCTAATATTTGAATTGCTTTACACATATAAAAATACAGATATTTTTTATTTATTGTACAAAATGTAACCTAAAATTAAGAAAAGAAAAACCCAGGTCTTTAGAAATATGCTTTCGAAATAATGAGGCGAGTTACTCTTGGCGCCAAAAGTATTTCGAGTTTCTAATATTCTAGCAGGTGAGAGTAAACTTCGTAGACAGATTTCGAACAGAAATGTGATAATAATATTTAATCTTAAGATTCGAACTAAGGCAATTATTATTGTCTGTCAATAGTGCAATCATTCAAGCCTTGCAATAAATGTAACGGGGAGATAAATCTAAAAAGATGGTTTTACAGATGTTCCTTGGTCATCAGCAACCAAATAAATTATTATTATTTTTATAAATTCTTATTGGAGATGCTTGCTTCTGTTTTACACACACACACACATACACCATGGCAGCCACTCATAGACACTGTTATATTTTAGCTGGTTGCAACTTGTTGCACAGCCATTTCTGGTTGCCGGTTGCTTTTTTGTAAAGGTCGGCAAAGCAGTGCGTTCGCCTTTCGTACAGTTTGCTGCACAGTGGGCGCCATGAGGGCGAATTGAGGGTGGGATGTGTGAATGATGGACAGCTTCACCGTTAGCAAGTGAAAATGCTTCATCATTTGCCGAGTTGTGGCGCTGGCGAACGGTCGCGTTTTGTGGCTTGTATATACATATATATAATTGAGATTTGAGTTTTTAGTTCTCATAACGTTCAGTTGCGGTGCGGGACTTGTGATATGTTTTTGGCGCCAGATAAATTTCGTACGATTTCGTATAAATAAGCAAACAGAGGAGTACTGCGGAAAGAGGCAAGTGAACAGCTCGCTTAGTGCGTTAAATAAAACAAAAGCGAAAAGAAAATAATCAAGAGATGCCAACAAGCATTTTTCACGCAATTCAAGTGGATTTTCCACCGGCTGACTTTCGTGTGAGATCCGAGCGTTGTTGCAGATTTATTTCTCATTATTAGTTTATATTTAATAACACGCACACCCAAAATTTGTTTACTTATTTTTTAATCAGATAGCTAGTAAATTTATAATGATTACCACAAACAGTGTATACAAAATTCAAAATATATTTCGTTGTTTTTCTTTTCTTTTATGTGTATTATGCGCAAGAACAAGATGAACAAGAACAGCACTTAACTAACTTTGATTAGCTGCAAATTATGTTCGAAATTTCATCTAAATGAAAGAATACAACAAAACCTAAAAAAAAAATTGCAACCAACAACAACAACCAAAAGTGCCAGACTAGCAGCTAATCAACTGAACAAACAGCCAAATACGGCGGCTAAGTGGAAAACTTTATACGCTGTGGCACTGTGGTAAGAAACAGTTTTCCTCAATATCAGAGCTTTCTTTTAATCTATAAGGACATTTAAAAGTTAGAAGCTGTAGATATTTGACTCATAACTTTCTAAACTTAATATAGATCTGGCTTTTTTAAAGCCCTACAAATATATTATTCAGTAGTTTTCCAAAAATAAAATATTTTTACTTTTTTGTCTCACAAACTTGATATGAGGACAAAAATGTGCTTAACCATCATCTGATTTATTTAAATGGTTAAAATATGTATTTAATATCATTAGTTATTTCAATCTCTTGTACAAATTCCAACATACTATTCAAAAAATACATGTAACAGAAAAAAATTAATTTAATTTGCTCCATTGTACACTGTGAGAAAGTCATTTGGTAGGCAATGAGCCAGAAAATGTGACAACACACACATAATTGCATTTGGTGAACCACACACACACACACACAGACACAGTCACGGACACGGACTGGACAGCATTGGCAATAGCTAAACTCATTTATTATTATAATTGCTTAAAACACAGAACACAGTGCCCAAATTTGTTGCATGAACGAAAATCGTGTTGTTGCCAATACTGCGGGTTATGTTTGCTGTATGTGTGTGTGTGTGTGTGGTGCATATTTCGATCTGCGCGCCGCCAGCATCATTAAGCACATTGACATTAACTAGGCGACGAACAGCACCCAACCAACCAGCCAACCTCCCCAAAACAGCTAACAGCTAACAGCAAACAGTAAACAGCAAACAGTAAACAGTAAAAAAAAAGACAAGCACAAAGCAGCAGGCAGCAACAATTCATCATCAGCAATATCAGTATTCAGTATACGACCATATGTACATATAATTATATCAGCTACATAATATCGATTGTTCCTGTTTGGTCCCCCTTGCTCTCATATAAATATTGTTATTATTATTTTTAACGCTGACGGCCATTTGTCTTCCGGTTATTTTTGCTCTCGATTCTCTCTTATTGTTGGCATAACATAAATTTTAATACCAGTTTAATTTATGCAGTGGCACAAGTCAACACTCATTTTAATTTCTCATGTTCATTCCATAAATTTTATATATTTATCAGAATTTATGGATTCAGCTCATATTGATTGTAATTTTTTTGAGATATTTGCGTTAATTGCTTTGGTCGCATCAATTATACAAAACTTATGTACAAATTCTATTAATTTAGGAATGGGTTCTAACTTGTAACTTTGACAAAACTGAACCGAATTTATTTATATTCATAAGTAATGGCTATAAAGAGTATAATGTACAGGCAGTATATGTATTCGTGATCATCTTGATCGTTTTTAATAAATCTATAACTATACAATGTTTTCAATCAGCATATTCTACATGCCCACTTCCCAATCACAAATGTTAGTTGAAGCCACAACCTGGTTGCCCAACGCAACACAGCACAAAAGTATGCAATTAGAAACCGAGCTTTCTATATAAACAGGATCCATTAGTCGCTACGTGACTGAGTTGAGACCGTATTGAAATACAACCGTACATTGCACGTGGCGTATACGCAACAATATTTCTGCCTCATTAATTGCATAAGCTAGCTAAGCAAAAGGGGAAGCAGCAGCAACAACAGCAGCCAACTAACTAGCTGACATTTAAAGTAATTGCCAATGTAGGTCAGAGGCGTGAGTACACTCAGAAAAATAATACCCTCTTATTAAGAAATTCGCCATACTTTTGGCGCTCACTCTATAAACTCTAATATAAAAGCCGTGCCAGTAAATTACACTTATTTGTTTCTGAATTTTAGAAAGAATTTTTTCTTATGTTGAGGATTTGCATTTCTACTTTCTAGAAATGCATTTCTTAATAATAGAAAATATTTCCATGATCATTTTGGGATTAACGATTTATGGCAAGCATTTCTAACTTTTAGAAATATTTTTCGTTTACTTAGGAATAATTTCTAAGAGCAACAATAACATGCTAGTTCTAGATTTTCTTAAGTTCAGTGCGACTTTTTCTGAGTGTATAAATCAGCTAGTTTCAGTTGGCGTTGTTTGTCCCTTCATCAATTCTTCAACTGCTAAATTGTTCACTCTCATTCATTAACTGACCCCACACAAAACACAACAAATGCAATTGACTACAATGCGTCAAAGCAAAGTGAACGTATCCAAATCCAAACTTTGAACAACTAATGTGACAATGGAGGTCTTTACAGATATGTTTGAAGTCTTAATAGACTATTTATACATTCAGTCGGTATACAATGTGGTCGGTATAAAGTGACGAGGAAGGTAAAAGACATACACATTGCCACAAAGCAAAACAAGCCAACAGATTTGAAGAGACTTCAACTTTGACATTCACCCACTTTCTGGTTTCCACAAGACGTTGATAAAACTCAATTACAAAGATTTGCATGTTGAATGACTTCTCTAGATCAAGTCTTTGCTCCATTTTAGCAAAAAACTATTCCGCATATTCACATATTAAATTTTAGCTAATATTCCGTATAATTGTTAAGTTCTGTAATTTATACGTTTTTATTAGATTATGTTTTTCTGATTCGCTCACTTTTCTAATCGAGCACTCTATTATTTAAAAGTTGAGTTATTTTCTTTGTTATCTACATGGATGGCAAAGTGTATGTGAAGTATTTGACATGGTTTCCAGTCAGTTGAGGAAATTTTAGTTTTTCACTTTTGCCAATGTGTGTGGGGGTGTTTATGTGTGTGTGTTTATGTGTGTGTGTGTGTATGTTTTTATGTTTTATGTTTGTAAGTTTGCTAGTGTTAAAACTCAATCAAGCGGAATGAGTTTTGATTAAAAATATAAGAAAGTTTGGCATTGAATAAACCTGTCGTTGAGCTCAGGTGTGTGTGCGTGTGTGTTGTGTGCGCTCTCTTGGTATGTGTGCTGCTTTTTCGATCGATGTTGCAAGGAAATTTAATTACAAGTCTGCAACTGGCAAGCGTTGAAGCCAACGCTCATTAATTGGACAATAAATTGATGCATTGGCAGTTGCTGCCCCTGCGGCCAGCCAGTGGCCCGTAAAGTGAGGATGCAAGAATGCGAGCAGTGACATGTTCTCATAGGTCACAGGTTGCCACATATTGCAATTAACAACCCTTCGGCAACAGCAACAATATGTCATGTGCTCTCTGTCCACACCTCAAATCAGTTTGCAAGCTAATTTGCTTGTTGCAGCATTGCAACCAATTCAGCCACATCACATCAAAAATTGCGTATACTCTTTGACTTTTGAAGCGTAACTGAACTACCAAGTCAAATCAGTTTTAAGTTTTTATTCTTATTTATAGTTAGCTTAAAGCACTGTACTGTAGACTGATTTAGTATAACCCCCTTCAAATTTGCAAATTTCTTTAGACACTTGCAGCATAACCTTTGACACATGCACTAATTGGATTCACAGTTTGCGTATACTCTTTGACTTTCAAAATATAACAAAATTACCTCTACACTCACACCCACACACACATACACACACACACACCCACGTAAACACCCACACACACACACCTACACAGACACAAAACTACCACCAAAGCTAATCTTATTTTATTTTGCAGCTTTGCCTTTGGCAGCCGCTGTCTGCTATTTGAAGATGACAGCATCAGCATCAGCGTCGATGTCGCCACAGCCGCAGGATAATCTACTCACATTTCTGTGGCATTTGTATGCCGAGTGCGTCTACCGGTACCAGAATGATACGTCACCGGGTCAGCAGGCAACAGGTCAGTTGAAAACACTTCGAATGCTCGGACCATTAAGATGGACACGTGTTCAACTTTAGCCATGATAGATATCTAGAGATTTCTTTAAATTTGAAAAAAAAAATCGTCCTGAATCTTGTCGATTCGCCAATCTCTCTCTCGCGTCAAGGGTTTTTCATCTAACTATTCAGAAAGTAAACTCGATCTCGATATCTCGATACACATCTTTGAATACATTCATATGTGAACTATGTCTCATATATGTATATATCCCCCGATATGTGCACATGTAGACCCTGGTGATGGAAATATACAGCTGTTGGAGCCGTATACGCGGATGCCGAACTACTTGGAGATGGCTGTGCTCAATGAGGGCACCATTGATATGCAGGATGTGAATGAGGAGGCGTCCAGTCTGAATGAGTTGTATGCCACGGTCCTATCGGCAACAATGGCACCAAATCAGCATTCAATCCAATACAATGGCAACAACAGTAATGCGAATACAACACGTGAAATGGAAATCCTCTATTGTCCGGTGAATTTCGATGGCTATCTCTGCTGGCCACGGACACCAGCTGGCACCGTATTGAGTCAATATTGCCCAGATTTCGTTGAGGGTTTCAATACCAAATTTTTGGCACACAAAACGTGAGTTTCATTTCAAAGTTAACCCAACAACAAACATGATAAATACATATGCACACAAATGTATGCAGGCTGTATGTCAAATCAAAGAAAGTGATTTGAATTCGAAAGAAAAAAAATCAAACAAATATAACTGATTTGAATGGTAATTTTCTTCCAATCGATTTAAGATTCATTTAATTAACTGTTTAATTAACAACAACATATTTTGTGATATATATTTAGCTGTATGGAGACTGGTTCATGGTTTCGACATCCGGTAAGCAATCAGACCTGGTCCAACTATACCAATTGTGTGGACTATGAGGATTTGCAGGTGAGTCATCAAGGCTACTAAGTCGTCAGTTATTGAATATCGAATACAAAACAGTATTATTACAATTCTTGCAGTTTCGTCAGATCGTTAACGAACTGTATGTGAAGGGTTATGCTCTATCGCTTTTAGCCCTGCTAATATCGATAATCATATTCGTTGGCTTTAAGTACGTACGAGCATGTCAATTGGCAATGCTTACGTATGATGCTGATGCTGATGGTGATGCTCTATCCTACAGATCGCTGCGCTGCAATCGCATCAGGATACATGTGCATCTGTTCGCCTCGCTGGCCTGCACTTGCCTCACCTGGATACTCTGGTATCGTCTGGTCGTTGAGCATTCCGAACGGATTGCCGAGAATCCAGTAAGTAAGCGCCAAGAAAAATTGTTCTAGTTTATTTAGATAGATATATTCATGCATTAACCCATTGCATTATTTTAAGTTGTTTAATTGCCAAACCAAGAATTTAACTCGCCATTGTTTTTAATGTATGTTTAGTTGATAAAGTTCGACTCTACACAGATATCTAGAATATTCCAACTTGGCTTAATTTGAAGTAACACCATTTGTTGTCTATTATAAATTTATTTGCTATCGATTTTAATTATTTTTACAGAACTGGTGCATTGCCCTCCACTTGGTGGTGCATTACTTTATGCTGGTCAACTACTTTTGGATGTTCTGCGAGGGTTTGCATCTGCACTTGGTCTTGGTTGTGGTATGTTACTCTCTCTCTCTCTTTCTCTCTTTGTCTCTCTCTCTCTCTCTCTCTCTTCCACGTGGAAATCGGTGCACAAGTTTGCATTTGCACTTTAAGACCAAATGCTGTGAATTTGTGATGAAATTTGCAGCTAGCACAATTTATGTGAAAGCATCTCCCGCAAACAGTTTTCCTTCTCCTGTGTTGCAACTGTCTGTTCTGAAGACTTTACAAAATTGATATACCAAATGCCAAATGCCAGATGCCAACTGCCAAATGTAAGGCCAACTCACTTTTTTATGCCCTTGAGTTTGATGTTGATTGATTTTACGACAGCATTCATAAATATACGCTTAGTCGAAACTAAACTTTCAGCTTATGGGAAACTTGAATCGATGCAGGTATTTACATATACCTACTTACCCAAATATCATATCTACCCACCTATATCCGACTGTTATATGGGCAACCTCGGACACAAATTTGACTTGATGAAGTATTCAAACCTCGGCCAACCGAAGTTAGCTTTAATTTGGAACTATGCTTCTAACTTGCAGGTCTTTGTCAAGGATACGATTGTGTTGCGCTGGTTCAAGTTCTTCAGTTGGCTGTCCCCGTTACTCTTCATAATACCCTATGGCGTTGTCAGACATTTCAGTGCCAACGACAATAAGCAGTGAGTACTTACTATATATGTATGTATATGATAAAAACTATAAACTAATCAAGCTTATAAATTTGATGAATACTAAAAATATATAGCGCCTCATTTGCATTCGCTTAGCTTTACTTCAATAGCCTGAAGTGTGTTAACCACATCAAATTATAGATAATACATTTTGTACATTTAACTTGATTATCGCCGCTTATAATGACTCTCAATTTGATAAACCCATTATCAGCTGCTGGATAAGTGAAAGTTTCTATTTGTGGATCCTCTCAGTGCCCATAACACTCTCGCTGCTGGCCAGTTTCAGTAAGTAAGAAAGAATAGTTGCCATTGAAGTTGTGGCAAATGATGCTTAAAATGTATGATTGAGAATTACATAAATGAAAAAAAGTTGCGTTCATACAGACGGACAGACAGACAGTTTTTTCTCAGTGTACTACTAATTTTTGCACTTTATCTTTTTTAGTCTTCCTTATCAATGTGCTGCGTGTGATTGTGCGCAAGTTGCACCCACAATCGGCTCACCCGGCACCGATGGCAATACGTAAAGCGGTGCGTGCCACAATCATTTTGGTGCCTCTGTTCGGCCTGCAACACTTCCTGCTACCCTATAGACCGGAAGCTGGCACCAAGTTGGATCGCTTCTATCAGCTGATGTCTGTGGTCCTTGTCAGCCTGCAGGGCTTTGTGGTCTCGTTTGTGTTCTGCTTCGTCAATCAGGATGTCATCGTTGCCATACGCACCTTGTTGAACAAATGGATGCCCAGTCTCGTGTCAGCCCCCCCGGCCGGGAGTAATACTGGACAAATGGCCACAACGACGCCCAGTCGCGAACTTGGCGTTTAAACCCAGACTTATTACGGTGCAGACAGTTGAAATGGCCCAATTACGCTTTCAAGGCCACTGACGATCAGAAAGTGAAAAACTAAAATACTTCGAAAAATATGTACCCATGTACCCATAAACAAATTGTTCCAATTAAAACTGCATCTCTTACTCCAAGTAATGAAATTCTTGGCCTACGAAATGTGTGGACATGCTTTCAGAAAGCAACTGTATTCAAAGAAGAACCGTCGTACTTCATTTATCCCAAAACAGTCCAAAACACATGCATAACTTCAAGCTAACCAAAATCGATCATCAAAGACGAATTTCCCCATCTAGGAGTTCATTTGAATAGAAAATACACCCTAAATACAATGTTTTAGAGCATATTTAAGATGGTATTATAGAACGTATTGGAATTTGTATTCATATCATTATTGCAGAGAAAACCAAAGATTGTGTGTCCCTTATCTGTGTCATAAGTAGTTGTAATCAATATATATATATATATATATACTTTTTTTTTTTTATTAATAATTCGCATACGTACTCTATGTACCTAAGTAACAAAGGTTTGTACCAATATATATTGAATACTACTTATATATATATATATTAGATGTTCCATGTACACATAAATATATACATGTTGTTAGAGTATTATTGGGACTTACATTTTATATATATATATATCTATCTGTTCTATCAGACATGTTCTGTTATACGTTCCATATTCCATTTGGAAAGAGGAAAGAAATGGTTTATAAATTTCTATGTATTTTGTCGGAAGGGCGAAGCTTGAATATCTATGAATATGAATCTATATATTAATTGTACTTACATGTATGTATAAAGTGTTATACCAAACAATTAATGTATTGTATGAACATTTAATTCAAATAAATCATTTTGTCTGCAAAAACTAATGTTTTTTTATATAATTTTTTTGACGAGGGAATCCAGACAGCCAGGGAGAGAGAGAGAGAGAGACATCTGTATGGAAATTCAGTTCAAGAAGAGAAAAAAAAAAGAGAGAACATTTATAAAATATAGAATGAGAGAAAGAGATAGAAAGTGAGTAAGAGACATTTTGAGTTATATGTGAGACATAAAAAGGAAGTAATTTGAAGCTTTTAATTTGGTGTTAATGGTATTCTCCACCAAAACCTTACAGCACTTTAGTCTAATCCATGGGAAATATAGCGGCTGACGAAAAATTGTTGATTTTATAAAAAGCAGCCCCGATTTAAATCAAAGAACAATTTTGCCCATATTTTTCATTTCCTTTTATTTCACGTTGTTACTTGTGTTTTATTTTAGTGTATCTGTTATTTGTTGTTATTTTTACCATTGCTTGCCGGCTTTATATTTGTTATTTCTCTTATGTTATTTTTTTGTATTTTTTTGTTGCTTTTTTTTTTATTTATGAAAGAGCAAAAGAGTGTAGAACAAAAACTAATACATGGTAAATACAATAAAATACAAATACAATAATAATTATAATTACAATTATAATTATTATTATAATTACAATTACAATTAATAATAATGCATACATCTATATTTCAATTATAAGTATGTACGAGTATAGTTAAATTCTTGTAATAGTTTTCATTTATAATAATCATATATGCATCTAAATGTGTACATTTTGTAGAGTATTTCTATTACGCTCCATTTATCCGCTTACTTTGCGATTCATCTGTCCGTGGTAGTAAGTATACCCAAATTTTATCTATGTTAAACAACTTGCTCTCTTTTTCAAATAGATCACATGGATCTAGATGTAGGTATATACAAATATGCGTTTAGATATAGATACGGTATGTGAACGGTAGAATTGAGTATAGTACTTTGGATACTTCAAATCTCGTTCTTATGTTTTTCACTTTAGCTGCTATTTCGTAAAGGATTTCATTTTTTTCTTTTCTTTTTTTTCATGCCGTGGGTACAAAAAGCAGAAACAAATGCTCGAACCACTCCAATACGTGTAAGTAAGTAGTTTATGAATCAGAAAATGTTCAATGCTCTAAGCATAATATAATACAATATAAGATAATATAATATAATATAATATAATATAATATAATATAATATAATGTAATATAATATAATGTATAATTATATGTGGAAAGTTTTTTTGTTTTATGTTTTTTTTTTGTTTTGTTTTTTTTTTTTGTAAGTTTTGGGTTAGTTTGGTTAAGATGTGATTAAACTAAGTTAATACAATGCAATGTAAGTATATAAGTACAAATTGTGAGTGCATACAAAGTAATATACATATATCTTCGTAGACAATAATAAGTAGGCATACATAATCAAATATAGAGAGTAATCGATTGGAGTGTCTTTGTGTTCTCATTTTTACCTAATAGCAATTACTTATAGATAAAATGTACCATCTTAATATTGATATTGATTTGGTTTTCGTTACTGATTTGTTTTGGTTTGTTTTGGGCGCGTTTTTTTGACAAAAGCGGCTACGTTTACGTTTTTGGTTTTTTGGTTTTTGTAATTGTGTTTTGTTTTATCTTTTTGTTTTACTCTCTCTTTCATTTGCATGTGGTTGCTCTCTTTCGTATCGAGTTACTGCGCCTGCTGCAAACTAGTTGATATTTTCCGATTTCATCTGCCCACTGCTACGGGTTAGCAACTGCAATTAAATTAAAGCAAAGCTTAAATCTAGACCGTGTTTAAGCGCCTATTTCGCCTTGGCATCGTTTTGGCTGTTGATTCCAATCGTTTTTTTTTTTCTTTCATTCTATTTTCTATTATTTTTTGGTATTTGACTAAATGCTTATTAGCTAAATTGAGTTATCGAACGATGTCGTCATCGTTATCGTTATCGATCTATCGTAGTGAAGTGTGTGTTTTCTTATTTTATTTTTTTGCAAAGCTCTGTTGCTTCGGGTGCTCTTTAAATATTTGATAACTAATTTGTGTGTTTCTCGGGGTCGTGTGTGTGTGTTTTCTGTGTAAAGTGTTGTATAATGTAAAATTGTTTGGAAGTTGCTGTTGTTGTGTTGGTTGTATGGTTTTCTCAAGCTGCTTGTCCGTCCAATTGAGTTAACACATATACATATATTTCTATATAAGTACCTATGCATGTATACAGCCCAAAATATATATATGTATATACATATATATTTTGATATATATATACATATATACACTAAAAGCAGAATATATATATATATGTTTTGAAATAATTGTAAATGCATTTTATGCTTAGTTAATGATTTTCATTGTTATTCGTTCACAAGTGTTTTTTCAGTTGGGTTCAGTATTTGCTTTGTTTTTTTGGTTTTTTGGTTTTTTTTTTTGTTTTTCATTTTTTGGTTGCCTGTTCTTAACTCTTCTTGCTGCCTTCTATCAGTATTCCATTCATTTGCCAGTGTGTGAGTGTGTGTGTATGTGTGTTTGTTTCAGTGTTTATTTGTTTGTGTGGGTGGAGTGTTCTTTGTCTATTTCTAAGTACCATTTCCTCAACGCCTCCATCTTTTCCTGCTTTCTCAGTATCCACTTCATCTGCACAATCCGCCTTTTAAAATGTACTTATATTGTTTAGCTATATTTAGGTAATTGTAGAGTATGCACTTATGTATGCATGCTGTGAATTCTATGACCGAGTCGCTGAGTTTCGAATTTATACAGCTGTGCACCTCTAGGCCTCAAGGTTTTCAGAAAAAGCTAAAAAAAAAACCAAGTACTCAAACAAAGTCTTGTTTCTTTCTTTAAAAAAGTATCGTTGTACAAGATGAGCGAGACATCCAGCTTGAAACTGGTTTCTGAATTTTCTTTAATTTTACTTAAGATCACTTCTCTTCCTGAATAAATATAATTTAATATTCAAAAATTCTGGTTTATACTAAAACTCAGTAAAGGAAAATCAAAAAACATCTTGTCAAACATCACTTAGATGAATAGTTTGAAGCATTATTAAACAGATTTACAATGTGAAAAATGTTCTGAATTTACTTCAATTTCACTTAGAAGAGAGTATAAGAAATGCGAAAAATTCAAAAGAAAGAAAGATTCTGATGCGTCTAGGGCCTTTGTGCTAACAGCGATGAAACCAACTTGGCTACTTGTTTTTGGGCCACAGTCAACTCGAGTCACATTTTAATATTGCTTTCTTGAATAACGAGGGAGGACCCAGCAACGTAGCAACGTCCCCGAAGCATGGGATCCAATCCGCACCTGGCTAATGTGATGGAAATTATTATATTTTATTTATGTAATTGTAATTGTAATTATGTAATTAAATCCATTAGGTTCATTGTAGTGTTTAACTTTATACACCCGTACACTTATTAGTTTATGCATAGTGAGTATTTGTATTTTCTATTTTCCATTTATGATTTTGCTTTACTTTCATTTTTATAGGCTAGGTTATATTATTTGAGTCCACTGGCAAAACAAACAAATCAACGAACGAAAATCGAATCGAATCGTGTTCGTATTTGTATTTGTGTGTTTGTGCTGTCTAAATTCAATTCGTAGCTGTCCACACACATATGTATACATATAAGGTATTAGTTTTTACTATTGAATATCGAATATCGTATATCGAACATCGAGCTTACATTAATAACATATAGATATCTCTATGTATGTATGCATGTATGTATATGCTGCCCATGACTTGTATGCTGGTTGTCTTTTGGGATCCAAAGAGCTCGATCTTTGACGGGCACATTTGGCGAACATTTTTATATATGTTATTTTTTGAATCTCGGGCTTTTAATGTTTGTCCAATCTTTGATATTTTTTAAATGAATTTCACATTTTTTATTTGCGTTATTTGCCTCATGCATTTACATAGTTTGCCATGTATATATACACATATATACATATACATATACATATATATATGCATGTATATATACTTAGTATTCAATATATTAATAAATTTTACTATAAATCTTTGTTTAAAAAATGTTACATCGTTTATGTATATATACTTTTTTAAATGTATATGTATGTATACATATATATATAGTTTTTAAAATTTGGTGTTTTCAATTTGCCCATGCAACGCCCACAAAGTTTTTATTTTAGCGTTTTTCTTTGAGTTTTTCATTAACTATCTTAAGTGTTTTTTTTTTTTCAGAGTGCCTGCTTGCCATGTAGATGTGGCTTTACTTTAAGCACTAAATCGAAAAAAAAGAGTCTCGTTTTAAAAATTGTATTTCTTGTTAGTATTTTATTTTGTCTTTATCAATTGCTAATTTCTACTGACACACACACATTGATTGCTGCTGTAGCGCTACTGAATATATTGGGGGAAAAGAATAAATGGGAAAAGGCATCTATGCATGTATTTAGTAGGCTCACTTTCTTACATGTATGTATATCTGTATATATCTGTATATATATATAGACGTATTTTTACCTATTTTGTTAGTGTTAGTTTTCTTGCATCCGACAAACCATTTAAAAAACTTATGCATTTACTTTGTAGATCAGATTGAAACTGAGCGAGTTTCAATTATTCAGTATTTGTTCAAAAATGCGAGTGCTGTTGTTGTTTGTATTTTAAGTAAGTATATCTGTATATGTGTATTTTGTTTGCGGGTGTGTGACCAGGACTAGCAAATTTCAAACTGCATGCAATGTTGCCACATTTCAGTTACCCATTTGTAGCAGCTCAAGAGTTTCATTGAAAAAAAAAAATAAGGAAAAATAAACAAAAATCAATCATAAATTATATTAAGGAATGCACAACAGAAAACTGGCGATAACAATGTGCCGTGATTCGTTGTCAGTTTCCAGTGCAACGCTGCCAAACTGCAAGCTGTGCTTAGCAGCCCAATTTACATCTGCTTGATAGCTCAATCAATCAATCAGTTGATCAAACAATCAACAGATTGTGGCCAGCTGTTTGTTTTGCTTTGTTTGTTGTCTGTGGTTCTGATTGTGGTTTGCAAAAAGGAAAACAAAATGTTATTTTTTCTTGGGTTTTTGGTTTTTTCTCTTTGCATGGTTTTTTTTAATAAGTCACACATTTATTTTATATATACATATATGTACGTATATATGTATATTTGATTTTTTATTATTTTTGTGTTGTTTTTTTTTAGGTATTTTGTTGATGTTTCGCGTTTTTTGGTTTTATTTATAAGTTATAAGTTGTAAAAATGGAATAATAAGTAGGCATAATAATATATAATATAATATAATAGAATAGAATATAATATAATAAGTTTTCATTGTTTCTTTGCACATACAATATTGAATATACTTTGATATTTGTTTTGGTTTTTATTTGGTTTTTTTTTTTTTTTGGTTTTCGTTTTTCCATTTAAGTTAGACGACGACAAAAAAAAAGACTAAAACGATTACATATTTATAATAATAATAATGGTTATAAATATGTCATGATGTATGCATGGATGTATGTATGTATGTTGCATGTATGTTTATGTTTATCATCTATTGTAGCGTTTCTAAAACAGACCCAATTTATATTAATTATTTTTTTTATGGGGAATATTGCTCAACTCAATGCGAATCGAATCGAATTAAATTGAATCGAAGATAAGCTTTTGTAAATACATATTATAACATTAGATTAAGTGAATGCAATTCATATGATGTAATTAATTGATTAATTAAGTTAATTAAGTGAATTAAGTTTTTGAATAACGAACACAATACAAATACAATATATCAATACAATTATATATAGCAGCACATACTGGCTATAGGGCATACTATTCTGAATAAATTGTTTAAAATTAGCATTTACTTTGTATGAGTGTATTTTAATTGTTTTTTGTTATTTTTATTATGATTTTTTGTTTTTTTTTTTTTTTGGTTTTGTGGCTTTTACTTGCTTAGTTAAATGAATAAACATTAAATAATTTAGTTACGTAATATTAATATTCAATTTAGTTTAATTTAATTTAATTTAAAAAAAAATCAATTATTTTAAGTAATTGTTTTTAAATATGGCTTTTAAGTATTTTTTTTTTCTTTTTTTCTTTATTTGGTATTTGATGTATAGACATTTGTTGTTCTTTGTGTTTGTTGCCTCTTTTAAGCTTTGTTTTTTATTTAGTATTTTATAGTACTTTTTGTGTGTGCGTGTGTGTTATTAAATAATAAAAAAAAAATGGTAAATTATTTAATTTCCCACAAAAGAAAAACAGAAAAAATATAAAAATTTTCGCTAAGATTTCATTAATGATCAATAACTTCGCTTAGCATACAAATCAATATATAGGTAAACACACATATATACTATATACTTGACTATATACAGTATATTTGTGCATTTCAATTACGACTACAACTCGCTGTCAAATGCCATAGTAGTTATTTTTGGTTTGATCAATCTGATATATTTGATATATATATCCTTAAGAGGTTTTCTCGATTTTGCTAGAGAGAGATTATAGAGTTGGCCAAATCAAAAAATACATTCAGTTTGTTGTTCTCAATACAAAACTCGAATAGATTAGATAGATAGTGTTCGTTTTTTAAGTGGTTTTGGTTTTGTTAGTCTTAAAGCTAACCTGCAACACACGATTGCCGAGGGTATATCCGTTGAGTGATTGTATGGCGACGACAGCCTCATCATAGTTGGTCATTGTAACGAATCCGAATCCCTTGCATTTGCTGGTCTGCAGATCCCTAATGACCTTGACCGATTGCACCGCACCAAATGGCCCGAATAGCTGCCATAGTACATTCTCCTCGGTCTCGGGTGCCAGATTATAGACGAATATGCACCAACCGGATCCGGTCATCGCATTGCCCGGCAATATCGAATTGGCCAACAGATCACCAGCCAGCGGTGAGTATCTGATTTATCAATTATTAACAGTTGGTCATTTATTTGTATTTTATTTTTTTATATATATATATAGATATATTTTTTTTTTTTTGGTTTGTTATTGGTTGGGGTAGAGAATGAAATTGAATTAGTGCACACATAATGATAGGGTATCTACTAGTGTAGGTATCATGAGAGAGAGATAGAGAGAGAGAGATATACAGAGAGTAAATACTTGAGCTTGTATTCATTGTATTCAGTTTATGATACATATATTGTAAGTATATCGTAACAAAATTGTGTCAAATCCCTCCTTGAGTAAAACACTTAGGAAACCATTTAACGCTATGCTGGGTAATATGTTATTAATTTATTATGTTTTTTCTTTTTTTTTTTTTGGTTTTTGTGTACCCTTGCAGTGGTGTATATAGGTCCATGTCCGTCTGTATGTATGTCGTTTTCTCAGAGTCTACAAGAGCAACAGAAATAAACTTGGAATATAAGTTCTCGTACATCGTACGCAGATCAAATTAACTTCATGTTATCGATATTAAATTTCCATCTAAGTTTTACAAAGCTAAAATAAAATTAATCTATAATAATCTATCTATTAATATTAAGCACAGTTGTTTATTTTTGCAAAACATCAGACAAATATAAATACATAGTATATTTTGTCAACTCTACCATTTGCAAGGGTATTGTAACATCGGCCAGCCAAAGTTATAAGTTCTATTTAATTCTGTTTTATAAGTTATTTTATACATGCTTTCATGGCCACTATTACACTGTGCTGCAAAAATTTTGATTTCATTTCCTTTTTCGTTTTGTGCCGCATTTTTTTTTTCTATTTGCCCAATTGTTCAGTTAAAAGCACAATCATGTAATTGTCGCTAGTTTCGTACAAAAATCAAAATGGAAAATATATGTAAATATATGTATATGTATATTTATAAAATCAAAGCAGACTTGGAATAAAGTTTGGTTGTCAACGAATATATGTTACACAGTGATATTTTATATAAAATTCAATCGAAATTGACTGAAATTATATTGTTTCGCTTGTTGAAGAACCAAATCAGAAATCATGCGACGTACGGAATTCAAATTGAACGTTTGAAACACAAAAAGCCATTATAGAAAAACATAACAAATACAGATAAAATATATATTAAATTCTTGAAATAATATCTTTGTTTTTATTATTGGGTATTTATGAGGAACAATTACACACAAACATTTAGCTAAACATTTAGTATCAAAACTGTCTATTTTTGAAATGATTTATTTTTTTTCAGGGTGTCAAACTGGAACCGAGACTGGCCCCGTTAACCAAAATAGATCGATTGAAATACAGAACCGGCAAAGGTGGCGAAATTCGGAAGTGATGTCATTAGTGATCGTGTAAGGGTCATCCCATTAATTGAGTTTCAAAAATGCATAGATATATATCAATACCAAGCGCCAGCTTCCATTATTTTCATGTTTGAGGATTTTTTGAGGCTCTTTCGAAGCATAAATTCGTTTCGGTTTGACACCCTGTTTTGTTTTTCGCAAATAAACAAAGAAAAACAGCAATAAATACATTTGTATGTGTGTCAGTGAGTGTGTGAGTGTATTGTGTGTATGTGAGAAATGAATAAGTCGAAAAATTCACCTTTGCAAACCCTTGTTAATCGCTAACATGGGAAATTTTCCAATGCTAAAATTATGATGAGAAATTTGTTTTTTTTTTTGTATTTTTTTTTTTTTGTCAAAGAAAAAAGAAAACCGAAATATGCCACATAAGAGGTAGGTAAATAGAAATAAAGTTATGTAAACGTTATGTTCAAACCCATAAAAATCGAAATCATAGCAAATATATACATGTATATAGAAATATAAATAAAACAAACTCATGTCTAATATTGGTAGTAGTTCTTCTTCTTCTTCTTCAACTTCTTTATCTAAACTTAAGAACTGGAACGTAGAGCGGACACCCAAAGGGGGGCAACAAATATACACTCGGACTCGTGTTTTGACTAGACTAAGTAAATAGTAAATATATATATATACTATATACTTATATATAAATATATATATATGTATATATAGAGTATGTTCCGTTACTCCGTGACTGAGTGAGGTTTTTTTTTGTTTTGTTTTTTATTTTATTAATTGATATTGCGCACCTGATACGTCCGGCTGAAGGTAGGGCACCGGCCAGTCGACGTGTTGCCGCTGCCGCCTGGGGCGTCAAATAGGCGGTGAGGGGTGGAGCAATTTGGGCCTTGGCGCTATTGCTTGGATTGTTGGCGAACTTAACTGTTATCGGCTCGGCATAGCCCTTGGGCGTTTTACCGTTCAGCTCCTGTATGGCGCGTTCAGCTTCGTTGCGTTGATCGAAACGGATAAAACCGACACCCTTCGATAGACCTGTGACAAGCACACAAGCATCAATTAGACAAATCGATAAATTATAGATATCGTTATCGTTAGCGTTATAGTCACGTACCAGAAATATTATCACAGAGTATACGAGATGTAATTATTTTGCCAAACGATGCAAACATCCCCTCCAAGTCTGGTTGTGATAGATTTTTCGGAAGACCCGATACATATAAATTAGCACCCTTTATAGATTCTGAACTTGGACGGGCGTATGATACTTTAATAACCTTATTCTGCAAACGCAAACCGTTCAGGGTGTTCACAGCCTTCTCAGCATCCTCGGCACGCACATAATTAACAAATCCATAGCCCAAACTCTGGCCTAAATAACAAAAAAGAATATAAATAAAATATTTTATTTGATAGGTTTTGCATTTAATTTGATAACTTACCCTGTTGCAGAGCCGGATTGAGTGCGGTCAATGATGCTGGCAAGACTGTAAAAAGTAATTGTAGTTCTTGATATGTGAATAAAGGGCTTTGATTCTATTGTTCAGTTTATGCATGCTAATAAATAATAATTCAATCAATCGCTTTCGTTACTAAAGTGTGCAAGCTACGAACCAAATCAAAGCTAGCTAAGTCAATTTAAATAGAAACATAGTAATAAATTATTGATATTGAGATAATGCTGTACCACATGCTAAGTTGAATGATAAATTCATCAAGAAGTAAATAACTAAATTAGATGTATGACAAATGATGAGTGTTATATATGCAATAAAAAAATAAATATAAATACACATATATATAGAAAGCATATTAGAATGTTGGTTAATATTTACCCAAATTACCTGAGACTTTATCTCGCACCAGTTTGCAACTCTCCAACTCACCAATGCTAGAGAAGAGCGAACGCATCTCCTCTTGCGTCATGGTTTGTGGCAGATAGTTGACTATCAAATTGGTGCGCGACTCATCATTGCTGCCATCAACGGATCCATTGGCGCTACCGTTCTTCACAATGTCCATTGCGTTGGTCATGTTCTCGTCCTTGTTGCTATTGCCGTTAATGGTGCTAATGGTGATTTTGATGTTGCAATTGTACTTGCAACTGTTACTGCAACTGTTACTATTATTGGTACGGTAATACTAGCAACTGTTGCCGGTACTGCTACTGTTTTTGTTACTGATACTGCTACCGGTACTGTTACTGCTCCTGTTACTGCTCCTGTTACTGCTCCTGTTACTGTTACTGTTACTATTGCTGGTACTGTTGTTACTGCCTTTAGTTGCACCCGGTAGTTGTTCTTGTTGTTGTTCGTTTGCGCTTAGTATTTAATCTCACTGCTTGCTTGGTTATGCTTACAATATATGTGCTTATATCTTTGAATTTTTAATTTCTTTCTTTTGTTTTCTTTTGTTTTTGTTTTTTTTTTTTGTTATAGTATTATTTATAAAGTTCTTTGACTGCGCTTTGCACAAGTCCCGTGAAGTTGTTTGTCGCAAGGATTTTCTTTTTATCGAATTTTCGCTTTAGACTTATGACGTTTTTTTTTTGTTTTCCTTTTCGTTTTTTTTTTTTTGTGTTTTGTGGGTTTTTAGATCAACTACGATCGCAAAAAAAAATAGTCCTTTATTTATGTTATGTTTCTTTGTTTTTTGTTTTTCTCTGTGTCTTAAACCGTTCTTTGGCTTCGCTTAAAGTTTAAAATTTTATTTAAGTTTGAATTTATTTTTGTTTTAGTTATTTTTAGATAAAAGAGTAAATTTTGCTAATGGTTTTGGTATTTCTGGTTTTGTTTCGAGTCTCTCTCTTTTGTTGATTTTTTTGTTTCGTTTTTTTTTTTTGTTCTCTTTTATTATTCTTTATATATAAAATTGCAAAAATGCAAAAAGATAGCAATAATTTTTTGTTTTATATAATTATTATTATTTTTACTAAATTTGCGTTTTTTGTTGTTTGTTTTTCTTCTTTTTTTTTTGTTTTGTTTTGTTGTTGTTGGAACTTAGTTGTGTTTTTATTCGAAATATACATACATATATAATATATGGTATATGTATTTATTATAATGTTGTATATACGCTTAAATATGATTATTCGTTATATTTGTTGTTGTTGTTCTTTTTATTATGTTAATAGTTGTTGTTGGTTTTGTTTGGTGGTGTTTGGTTTAACGTTTTGCTTCTTCTTCGGTTGCAATTTCAAAATCTTCTCATCGATTTGTGCTCTTCTCGTTCTCTTCTTTCTCCCAGTTGCTCTTCTTGTTTGTTTCTCGTGTCCGATAAATGATAAATAGCTGTTCGATTGCTCGCCCGTTTTTACTCAATCTGCAAGTAGTAAATTGTAAAAACAAAAATATCATTTCAGTTTCAAAGCAGCTAAATATAGAACAAGTTTGCCAACACAACCCCCCCGCTGATAAGCGAAGCGAGAAGCGATAGAAAAGCCACCCCAAAAATATATTTGTCTATGTAGATTTTTGACATGTTTTCGGCATCATCATCTTTTTAATAACCACCCCATCCCCCATCTCCCATAACTTAAACCAAAAGCCCCAAATATGTTTACCAAGTTTACCAAGTTTCTTTTGCTTTTTTATATTTTCTTTCTTGTCAGCAAAAATCTTGGATTAATAATTTGAAATTGAATTAAATTACTGTTATGCGAGATTGTTTATCAGTGTTAAATGCACAATTCGCTTGCTCAGCAGTTCTGCACCACAATGAGAAAGTACTGAAGAACATTTAACATTTGTTGTACCCTGTGTAATGTTAGGGGAATGTGTGTGGGTAATAGGCATATAATATTGATAAGGATCAGCAGTTAAAAAAATGTAGTTATTAAATGATGAAATTCATTTAACAGGGCAAACCCTAGTCGATCTTTCTCAAGTGGAGCACACATAATTTTTTTTTCCTTTTTTGCACTGATCAGCATTTTTTTATGTGAGCTTTCAAGTTGATATTAAATACCCAGTAACCCAGAAACTTAACAGGATTTCGATAGTATAAGATAGAAATGTGATAATATTATAAAGGCTAAACGCAATTCCATTTATTTTATCATTCCGTTTGATATTGGCATTGTTCGAATAAAAATACAAGCTGTCAAAAGTTTAAGTATTCAATCGCATTTCAACACCTGTGCTAAGATGTAGTTACAAAATAGCCAAGGGTGCTAAAATTCGTTTGCTTTCCACGAACTAACTAAGCGGATGCTTAAACTCTCTCTTTCTCTCGCATTAATGAAAAATTATTATAATTCTGTGCAACACAACTCCAATCGGAATATATAGCTTGCCTGCACATTGTTCCAATAGGAAGCATTTTGAGGGGTTGAAAAATAGACATAGACAAGGAGAGACAGAGACAGAGAGAGAGAGAGAGAGAGAGAGAGAGAGAGAGAGAGAGAGAGATAGAGATATATAGATAGAGAGATATAGAGAGAGAGGACGAGTGAGAGCGAGGGGTAGGGAAAATGTTACTCCCTTTTGGCTAGAAATTGAAAATGAAAATAGGGTAAAAACTTGACGCGAAAAACAAACAAACGAAGCGGCACGTCGCGCACAGGACACACAGGACATGCAGGATACACAGGACACATGGGCTGCTTGTTGGCTGTGCATTCGATGTAGGATTTTGGACGGTTGTCGGTTGTTGGGCTCTTAAATTCGATGGGTCAATGAACTCGTCGCTTAGCGGCCAGTGTTTTTCTTTTTGTATTTAGGTTTTTGGCTTTTCTAGTTATTGTTGAGACCGTTGTGGTTATTGTTGTTGTTGCTGTTGCTGTTGTTGTTGTTGCGGTTGCGGTTGCTATTCAACAGCTGTTGCGGCCAGCGTTCAATGAACTCGATGGCAACGCAACTTGAAAAGGCACCTAGAAAGGACGACAACAGCAACAACAATCGGCATGTCATAAGCAGATAAACAATAATAAAAATAAATAAAAACAAACACACGAAGAGCACTTGAAAGGCCAAAGAAACAAAAGAAAAACGAAAAGAAACACAAGAAAGATGAGCGATCCACAGCACGCCGAATATTAAATACCCTTTACAGAAAGCAGTCCAACTGCTAATACCTGGTTGTGTTAAATATGTCTACACTCAGAAAAAAAACACACAGATTTTTAGAAATTCGAGATTCTTTAAGATATACGATATATCTATAGAACTCTATCATTAGCTTTTTTGTTGTTTATACAATTTTAACTCGTTTCTGAAATTTAAAAATTAAGGATTTGCATTTCTACCTTTTAGAAAATGCACTTTTTAATAATAAAAAATATTTCTAATAAAAATAAAACAAAACATCAAATTTTTGGGTTTGTCGATTTAGGGTAAGTAAGAGAAATGATTTCTTATATTTGGAAATCGTTTCTAAAAACAAGAAGAAGTTCTTAGTATTTATATACATATATGTATATTTTATGGAATTGGTTGTTTCATTCATGCGCTACACACTTTTGGACAAAATCTTAATATACCATCGATAAGGGTATACAAAAAAATAAATAAAACAAGTCAAAGTCAAAGCCGCAAAAGCGGAGACGACTCCAAAGAACAAAAGGAAGTGCAGCTATCAAAAGCTCAAGAGGAAGCAAAGAGCACACACACTCAAAGGGAAAAGAGAGCGAGAGAGAGAGAGAATGAGGCTGCAGTTAAGCTAGCTGCATCTCAGCAGGAAATTGCAAGCAGCTGCCGCATCAGCCACCCAACAGCCACTTCGCCACCAGCAACTCCCCATTCAGATGGCAACCCCCAAACGGCCAGCGACCTGGCCAAGTACGTGTGTGAATATATATATATGTGTGTGTGTGCATGTTATAAAAAAGGAGGGAAAGAAAGAAAGAAGGAAGGAAGGCAAGAAAGAAAATGTGTAATTGAGACTTTTGCGCCGATATCTGTGACCTCATTTAAAATGTGTGTCGCCCCACAGTGCCTTGAGGTGGGTCAGGACATGTCTTAAATATTGATGGCCAAGGATACAAAAAGACAGCAGCATGAGCGAGACAGCAGACAGCAGACAGGGAGAGAGAGAGAGAGAGAGAAGCAAGCTGCCAAGAAAAGAAGGAGCCAGCAAAAGACGTGTGCCAATGAGAGAGAAAGAAAAGAGGGAGCGAGAGAGAGATGGGGAGAGAGAGCGAGAGATACATAATCAGAGGCATTGTGAGAAAGAGAAAGAAAGAGATGAAGAAGAAAGAACGAAGAGTCAGCAAGAAGATAACAAAGAAAGACAAATACACCAGACTTAAAAGTGGCCCAAGTCAGAAAGGGAGAGAGAGAGAGAGACAGGAAGAAAGACAGAGGGAGATAAAAGAAAGAAAAAGCTTTCAACTTGACGGAAGACAGAGATTTTGAAAAATGTAGAATAAAGAATAGAGATATAGAGAAAAAGAGGGAGTGAAAGATACTTAGTCTTAGACAGCTCCTCAAGGATATCAACTATAACTGTCTCTATCTGCATCGCTGTATCTCCCTTCCTCTCACCCTATTTGTCTCCCTCTCTGTATCTCTCTTGCTCTCTCTCTCTCTCTCTCTCTCTCTCTTTCTATCTCTCAATCAATTATAGATCATACGGGGAACATTGACTGTAACAAGTCCCAATTTGCTTAACACTTTTCGCACACTTTTCCCACTAGAAAAAAAAAGGCACATGAAAAAAATAACGGAAAATACTCACAAAAAAAATTCAGCATACACTGTTATAACTGTTCTATGTGTGTATATATATTCATATATATATATATATATACATATTTTTTTTTTTTTGGCAATAGATACAAGCCAAAGTCAAAAACAAAACAAAACACAAAAAAAAGGAGAAATGATGAAGAAGAAGAAGACGACGACGATGAGGAAGAAGAAGAGGAGGGAGCCAAAAATAAAAGTTTTGAATTGTATTGATTGTAAAGCTCGCTCTCTATTTCTATCTCGCTGTCGCTCTCGCTCTCGCTCTCGCTCGCACTCGCACACTGGTCGTTGCAGGCAATAGCAGCTGCTATCTCGCTCTGGTGACAGTGTATTTGTTGTTGTTTAGGTGTTAGTTATAGTTGTTCAACGTTGTTGTTGTAGTTGTTGTGATTGTGGTTGTTGTTGTTGCAGTTCATGTTGTTGTAGTTGCTTACATTTCCTTTAATTTGTTGCACAGTGTAACAAAAAGCGAAAAAAAATATATATGTATATAAATTTGACTAGGACTGTTGAACACAATTGTTGTTTGTTGTTGGTGTTGTTGTTGTTGGTTGTTGTTGGTTGTTGTTGGTTAACAATTAGCTTGGCTTTCAACGTATTGCAATTTTTTAGTAGCCCCGACACGAGTCTTAAACGAAACGAAAGTTGCGATAGTAGCGATAATTAAAGCGTCTATATATATATATATATATACAATATATATATTTATATCTTCTGGTATTTTATTGCACAGAGACAGTGAGAGAGTTATGCACAGTTATAGCTGTTGTTGTTGTTGTTGTATTTGTTGTTGTTTTATATTTTATATAGTTTTGTTAAAAAACCGAGAACACAACAACAAATTCGTAACTGAATACAAATACAA